GGTCGCATGGCACTTGCAGGTACATCTTCTGTGAACTTGAGGTAACAGCTAATTTATTTGCCCTCATGTTGTTATCCAATATTTTAGCATAAACAATCAATACAAGAACTCTGAAATATTTGTAATTTTCAAGCAATTGGTTACCAAGGAGGAAGAGGTTGTTTAATTTGGCCTTGTTTGGTATATTGCCTGTATACAAGCAGATGGCTTATGCTTAATGCTCACCTTTCACTCTCTGACATACTTAACGCAGCCTGGACAGAAACCTGTCCATGCACATCATCCTTGAATTTTAACATGTCTGACCATCTTTGTCAGAAGTGTACCACTGGGAGCTTGATCGGTTGTCAGCCTTTTCCAACATGGTTAGCCTCCATCTCAGATTCTTGCTTGCTTTACATTTCCTTTTTCCCCCTTAAGGGCTTTCCCTCCAGCTGCTTAGGCCCATTTGAGCAGATGGGTAGCAGGGAGTCTGAAGGCTAGCGAGCTCAAGATGATGGCCCAGTGACATGCAGCTTGACATATGAAATTGACCCACGCCCAGCAACTCCTCACAAATGCAACAATATTCAAATTAGAGCTGCACAATTATCATACAGACTTCCTCTCTGTGCTTTCTCCATCTCTTTTGAGCACACAGGTACACCATATACACCAATCCAACCTGTTTGACATAAACAAATAATATATTTGATTGTTTTATTAGACAAATCTTTATTGATATTGGTGGTGACATTATTTTCCTTGGAGACGGACTGGTCTAACTATAGAACACGAGCCAAATGAACTCTTTGTCTGTTGTCTGAGGGATTTTGCTGATGAATGTGAAAGTATTAAGCAAGTCAGCTATAATTTGGCTCAAAAGCAGCCCATTCTCTGACACGCATGATAAACATGCCAACGCTGTCTCAACAACATCAAACACACACTGACCCTCGCGCCCTCCAAACCTTCCTGTGCTTCCCCTCTGCTGTTTTCCAAGCTTGCATACTATACCGTTTTTGACAGGAAACCAAAACAGCACACAGTGGTAGAAAATGTGGACCATGTAATGAGGAAAATAGGTACTGCAAAGAAAACAAAACCAATTGTACCTTAAAGTTACATTTAGGCAATCTTCTTGGCAATCAAGCATTTAAGAATGTTGTATTTGTCTTCTAGAGGTGTTTGTGAGAGCCATAGGTAATCTACACATCTACTGCCCCATGGGATTTTCAGACGGGAGCGTTGTTTTGGTACAGCAGAGCAGTTTATTACTCAAGCTAGCCTAACACAAGCTAGCTAGGTAAGCTGATGGTGCCAACAATAAAACTAAGAGCAGTGAGAAGGAACCAGTTATAGTGAACGTTACTGTAACAAAACACCATATAAATAGCGTATGCATTGCATATTTGTCTGCCAGGTACAAAATATTAGCCACAGCAGGTGTGTTGCTTCCCCCCTGACAAACAGACATCCACTGTTGCCATTCAAGAGACTGGAGAAAATGCTGTGTGCACGTTTACCTGGGTCTAAGATAAGTCACTACTAGGGATGCTCCGATCGCCAATTTTGGGGCCGATCGCCGGAATCAGTATCGACCGATCGCCGATCGAGTGGGCGGGGCCTATGGGGATCTTCCATTTAAAGTGATGTTTAAAACTCAGTTAATGGGGCTCATTCACTGGCGCTTCCACAAACAACAACCAACATCATTATTACATTCAAATGAAGTACATTATTCAAGTTTACATTAACTTTGGATAATAACACGGGAGAAATGAGCGGAAGCGCTCTCTTTTCCTCTCTCCCCCTCTCTCTCTCTCCTGACAGCCCGTCAGTATCTCCTGCAGCTCACTGATCCAGTAATGAGTGACCCGACAGTGAAGAATAAATATATTTATAACTAGTTTAGCTTGTTCCAGAGGTAGATAAAATAGGTAAGTGTGTTAGGTCTAACTCTTATGCCCCTTTCACACTAATGTGGTTCCCGTTCTAGCTCCGTGCTAGAGCTTTTCTGGTTCGGAACCGGTTTTTCTTTTCAGCCCCCGTTTTGTTCACACCGCCCAGAGCGCGACTGGTGCTGCCGCTGCTGCATCATGACGTCAACGTTTACGTTGCTGATTTTCTCCCCAACGGCGTCGGGTCGATGATCGTGTTGCTTTTAATCATACGAAGCCAGATTAAATGAAATAACTACTTCTCAACCCTTGTTCTTTTCTCCATTGCCGTGGTTCATTGTTTATTAATGTGTTACAGCGGCATTTACCGACCGCTGCAGTGCTGCCCGCTGTTTGGCATCTCAACGCTGTTATGAAAGTTTCTCTGGTATAAAATGGGTGATGTTAGCATAGCAACCGAAGCTAAACTGACTATCTTGACTACTTGTTGCTATCCTATTGTGGCATAAGCCGGCACATTTTACCGGCGTATTTTTCATTATGATTCTACTTGTGATAGTCGGACATGACAACCTGTGCAGCCCATGTATTGATTCAATCTGATAGCTGCTATAATACAAAACAAAACGTCTGCCTGCTCTCCACAATGATCAATAACAGCGAACGGATGGTCAAAGTAAGGTACAAATAAACAGAATCACACGAAGCCTGGTTAGTGTTGCCTGACTTTATAAAGTGTGTTTTTTTTAATAAGTGTGTGGTTGCGTTCTAGTCACTTTGCTCAGCACTACTGCTTGTTACAACTTTCATTTGGCGTACTACTCGCCATAAACTGTTATTGCTCAGGTTGATCCCGCCCCTGCCCCTGCCCCCGCCTCTGACGTAAGCGTGACGTATGTGGTTCTTGCTTCTAGGCCGAATTTTTTTTGGTGGAGCTTAGAGGCGGCTCCGCTGCGGTGTGAACAGGAAAAAACTGTGCTTTTCAGGCTCTAGCTCCGAACTGGCCCTGGAACCGCGTTGGTGTGAAAGCCGCGCACAGAGAAAAGTCTCATGTATTTTACGTCATGCGATCGGCTCTCGCGATCTGCATTTTTAGAGAGCACCGATCGATCGGCAGAGAGTGAGTATCGGCCGATATCGATCGGCGGCCGATCGATCGGAGCATCCCTAGTTACTACTTGGACGATCATTACTCCCATTGTTTTGCTTTAAGTTTCTAAGTGTGTGCTTGAGAGTGTGCACTTATGTGTGTAGATGATTATGCTTATATGTGAATTGAGCAGATGGGATGCCTTAATGCCAGGAGCAAGGAGTATTTAATGAAGTGTTGCCAAGGTTTGAACATTGAGATGTTAAAATAAAAGTTGAAAAAATGCAATTTACTAGAGGTTTTATCCCTATATTTTTAAATGTAGAATCTGTCTTTGTCTACCTGTGAATGTACAGTAAGACCAACTTTAAGATGGTATTGATTGCTTTTGTCCAGCTCCTATTATTAGACCCATGCACTTTCAAAGAGCCAGTTGACTACTTGGCATCCTCAGATGATGCCTTGCTGTTCTTTTTTTCTACATCAAGGCAGAAAAGCAATGTCTTTGACTTGATCTTCCAATCATGCGTCTACATTATCTTCTCTTTAATCTCAGGGCAAAGATTAGTCATCCCAGTCTTTGTCACACACAGCATAATTCCAGCACTCCCCACGAGCCTGACTGCTTCTGGGAGTCTTCCAGTTTGCCATGTGGTTGAGCGAGAATTTCAACAGAAGGTGAACCTTAATTGCTGTAATTGTGCCAGCGCTCCTCCTGGCCTATATTTGATTATTCAGACCAGGCCTATCTCATTATCACAGTTGAATAAGCATGGCAAATGATCGGGCTTCATTTCATGGAGAATTGGGGATCTTCTCAGTGCCAGTCTGTTTGTGACTGTACCACCTATTTGCCTCATTAACTGTTGCAGCCGGAGCTCGTGTGGCCATCTACATATCTTAGCCTGGCCTTCATCCAGAGGACATGAAATAATCCACACACTGAGATGGTAAACTAACTAACTAAATGTTGACAGAAAGCGTTTTGAGAAAAAGTTGTCCCACAAATGTGTATCTTCAGTCATGCTTTGGCTTCTGCTAAAAGTGAAGAAAATCCTGGGAATGTGACGCACTCCTCATCCCTGGTGAACAACATACTGTAGAGCAGCCTATGCATCTGCTGCAGACAGCTTAATAATCCAAATACGAGGGATGAACATAAGTTTAGTAGCACATTCATGTGAGATCAACAATGTTGGTATTTGTACATGAAATCTTGAGATGAAATGTCCTGAAAGTATGCCGGTCCACTTTTTACCTAAAGCAGTATACATTAAGGTGAAATCTATTTATATTGTGTTTGCATTATCAGTAGAATTGTTGGATATATACACACGTATTCAGGCAATGTGAAATGATCCCCTGAGGAGGCAAATTTATTTATTAACATTTCCAAAAAGCCTGTCATCGTTTCTCTAATGTTACCAGGTGAGGGGAGGCTGAGCAGATAAAGAAGTGAAGTCATTTGCCTTCATGTAAAACAGATCTAGTCTGCACAATGGGAAACAAGTAGAAAGTCACGTGTGCAAAAGTGATGTTTAACAGTGTCACTTGAATTAAAGAGACAGCAGGTCACAAAACACCTTGAAATAAAATAAATACTCACATGACTGCTCTGAAGTACTCCTGATAATCGGTTGGAAACAGATCTATAGTGGCAGTTTTGTTTAACCTTGATAAATACTGACAAAATCAAACATTGTTCTTTAAATGAATTCAGCGCGACCTTAAGTTTTGAATGACTGTTGGTTGAGAAGATATTAGATACATTCTGAGATAGAAAATCAAGTGAAAATGTTTATTATGACCAAACAAGTAGCATCATATAATTGAGTTTGAATTGTTCTATCGTATCATTTACTGTATTGCTGCCATGCCACAACACACATGAAAGAAATCCCCCAATAGTATGACTTCTAGACGTATCTCCTTTGAAGATACATCACGTTATGCCCACATCCACATTTAAGGAACAAGGTCAAATGCTGGTGTTAAGATGTTCTTGACATTGTTTTTTCTCTTTTCCACAGATATCATTGACAAGAGTGAACTGAAGCCGTTCTTCGAAAGCAACTGTTCTCAGATATATTTTATCTTCTATGAAAATTTCATTACACTGGAAAGCAACTTAAAACTAAAAGGTAACTGCACATTTTGTTCTTTTCTTTTATTGTTTACTGCTCACTCACGAGTTGACCAACACCCAGGATGACGGTTCAATAATTAACCCTCTCCCTGTTCTTTATGGTATGCATGACAACAAGGGTGTATATTGCTCTGCCCTACATTTACATAGAAATTAGCATAAGGAAACACTGTCTGGTTATGTCCAGTTCAACTCTAATTCTGCTAAACTCTACACTATCAGGAGTAATGGGGTTCATTCCCACTGGGAGTATGCTCACACAAGTTCCTTTTGAATAAGTGTTCACAAAATGGCCTGCGTTATCGATGCATTATTGATGAGGCTAATGCAGTCTACCTCCTGGGTATGTGTTTAAAGTCCTAAGTACTTTCCTTGTTTTTCAGGGAACAAATCACAAAGGGAGGAGCTGGACTCTATCCTCTTTATTTTTGAAGTAAGTCATCCATGTTTGTCTGTGTTACTTGTCTCCCTGTCGGATTTCCACTATAGCCTCAACCTGTTTACTGCTCCACTCAGGGGCGGGACCCTAGTTTCCATGGTGCCATGCAACTCTGGCTTCTTCCTGAATTTGCCTCAAATAGCCTGGAAATCATTTTAAGATTGTGCAGATGATAAAAAAAAAACCCACCTTTGCTCAATCATATTTGAACTCTTAGGATAGCTTTCAGTCCATTTCTTTTTTTCAAGGTGTGCATGAAAGGTCTCGTGTCTGAGTGTGCAAGGCATTGTTGGTTTTACGGGCCCCTCCCCCTGTTTCCTGAACACTCTTATGTTGCACATGCAGGTTAAAGTCCCCCACCTTGTTTTCCCACCTGACTTTAAAGGCAGCTCGAGTTTCCAACACAAACAGCCAGCTCTCCAGTTTCATTTGCTCAGGGCAGGGCCGTTAGGATGGCAGCAGAAGGGAAACAAATGGTTTGTCCCTCTTTGTACAGTATGTCGTTGTCCTAGTTTTTCTGATCACCTGGGAGCACTGTGTGGCAGTGTGTCTTGTAGAAGTCTAACAAAGACTAAGCAATTCCAGTTTGGAAAGCACAGAGGATCTTTAGCTTTGGATTCAGTCCCACTGGCTAATTCATCTGTCCATTGTCTGCCTTTAGATATGGATTCCTACTTTGCTTGTAAGGCATCTAGTACGACTTAAATGTGTTTTCATGTTATGGTTATGATTAGATCTTCTTTGGTTCTGCTCAATTGTTCAGGTTTGTAATTTATGGCTTACCTAGCTTTCCGTTTGGAAGGCGTTTTTAATAATTGATGAAAATGAAAATGATCATTAGTATCCGTGCTTCCCGTCTGTTTAAAATAAAGAGCTCACAAGATGGCCCTCCGGTTTCTCCTCTGCTCAGCATGACTTTCTGTGCGCACACATCCAGTCATCTAACCTGTAAATAAAGCCTGGATTCATGCCTACTACATATTAATAGTCCTAGAAAAAAAAACTGATATTGAAAGCAGCTTAACCCTCATTTGTCCCCTTTTAGCCCCTGCCTGAGACACCGTGTGCTCTCACCCGTGCCCCGAGCAGATAAGCCTGCTGTGAGTGGTGTGTACAGGACAGATACAGGGTGGCTTTGATCCGGAGCTCTGCTGCACTCTGCATACTTTCTCCTTACGCCACATTAGATTATGGATGTTGGATCTATGTGCTGGTGAATATGATATCAATGGATACGTTTGTGCTGGCAAACATGCACTACTAATGCATCATATTGTCACAGAGGTTATATTACGTAACACACAGACGGGACATATGGAGTGAAAGATTAACAGGGTTTTGAGGCAGGGCATCCGGATCGCTTTCCTGCAAAAAGCATTTGTTCATTTATGGATGTATGGATTTTAAACCCAATTGGTCTAAATATGTATCACTTATTTTGGTCGCAGAGGTCTTTGGCTTTTGTCCAGAAAGCCTCGGAGTAAAGAGAAGGTTTTGAATAGACAAACAGCTGAGACAAAAGAGGTTTTGTGGCTGTGTGCTTCGCCACACACTTCAGTGCTGTAAGATCTCATCCTGTGAAAGAATTTTCCTGGAAAGCCGCATTAATGTCCTCATCTCTCCAGACACAAAGGAAATACAGCCCCCTGTGCTCTTCTGCACCTGAGTCCCTTCTTGCATTCAGATGTGGCTGACCTATACAGTACACGTCTCCGGTGTGTGTGCTTGCATTGAGTTGGCTATGTGGGAATTACTTGTATGTGACCCATTTTTTTTTTCATTCGTTGCTCTGGGGGTGTCCCCCTTGTTTGATTAATGGATATCTAAAGGGGGTAATCTTTTGTCTCGCCACCTTAAACTCTGCTGGAACACCCCACCCCCACCGCCACCAGCCGCCATCGCCATTTCCGTCCAGGGTCCCTTTGTGTCTCCTGCTATGAAGGCATCCACCGTGGCAGCGTGTGATGCTGAGAAAGAGGAGAGACCTCTGTGAGAACAGCAATCAGAATCAGAAATAGTTTAATTATCCACGAGGAAAATTGTATTTGTGACAGTTGTTTTCACTTTAGAATAGAATAAGATATGATAAGATATAATATAAACATTTGAAGTAAACATATGCTATTGAAGATGGATTTAAATATATAAAAATAAGCCATGTCCAATGGAGAGAAACTCCCTCTGGAAGGAGCTTAGGGAGTTTAGCCATCTATGTGCACAGAAACCTACATAGCACACTACAGGAAAAGGGATAACCCTGAAAAAGAATAATAGGGCCTCCTTTAAAAAGATCTTCTGTCTCAGTGACCCAATGTGAGAAGACTGCAATGCCTAAGTATTTAGCCCCCTTTACTGTGACACACCTAAATCATTACTAGTGGTGCTACAGTAATTTGTTTAATAAGTCGCACAACCAGTTCAGTGGAGAACAGTGTGTAAAGAAGGTGTGACATATCTGTATGTTATTCTACCATTGTACATGGAACTGCTTGTTACTCACGAGTCACTTCCCTGCCAATAGCTACCTTTGTATAGACAATCAAACTAATTCAGCTACAATGCTTATCAAAATAATATTTAAAAAATAAACATTTCAAGGCATATCCCTCAGACTATGATAATGTCATTTGGGAAACTGAGTGTTAGAGAGGGATGGGCAGTAGTAATAGGAAGCACATTGTCAGGGCTTGATGTTTGAGCTTGCTGTTCATGTCTGTGTTTGCAATGTTTTGGAGCATCAGGGTAGGCAGGTATGTGAGACAACGTCGTTGTCAGTTTGATAATGTCTGTCTCGCTTTGGCAGCCATTCATATAATACAGTTTGGAGTCGAAATGCATTCCTGTAATCTTATCTTATGTCTTCTCTTGCTGCTGTACAGATAAGTGCAAATGTAAGTAGGTAGTGAGAAAGGCACTGAGAAGCTGTTTCAGACTCACATCAATTATGCATGCAGCAGGTATGTCTAATTCCAGGAATGAAACCAGATTTCAAAACCAGATTTAGCTTCATGGCTTAAGGGACTGCAGTTTGTTTACCCTCCTGTATGACTGAAAATGACCGCTAACTGTCTGAAAGCAGATCCTGGTTCATTTGAGGTTGTGAGACAGGTTAAAGGAGGGCTGTGGGACCAACAAAACTCAGAGGGAAGTCTGTTCATTCCCACTTTCTCTCCAGGATATGACCTCAACATGACCCGTTGTCCGTTCTCCGGACCTGACTCAGCATTCTGAATCCCCTCGTCATCCTCTGTAAAAAAGCCCCTCATCTAGGCTTGAGACTTAACTTGTTGAGTTGCCTACTATGGGTATTTGTGTTTATTATATGTAGCTTTTTTTAAACGTTTTTTTTAAACGTATGACTATATATTTAGTACATTGGGGCTTGGTCCTTCGATTGAATCAACTTATAGATTATTCAACACAATGATCTTAGTGTTAGTTGACTAAGGATTCCTGTAGTCGAAGAAAGCCATAAATCAATGAAACTCTCCTACATGGTGCTGACAAATGAACCCAGAGCCATTGAGCTAAGTGATTCCTTTTACTCCCGGTCCCCTCTTTATGCAGACCCAGCTCTGACTGACAGTCCACCATAGGGGGGTTATTGGTTAATGCATAAATGCTAATTCACTAAGTGTAGCTCGCCTCTGCAATCGGAGCAGGCTGAGTAAATGAATCTTGATGAAGCACCGCTTTAACCTGTACTTACCCTTCAAACACAAACCCATTTAAGGTACAGCCACACATTTGATAGATAACTGATGATTGTTGTCACATGTAAGCACTGATTTATGAACGTTTTGTGCATGCATGTTTATCAATGTGTGGCTTTGTTGGCTTTGATCACATGGAATGTAGGTTTCTTCCTCTTTTAAAAAACTGTTCCTCCATAAAACACTTTAAAATTGGTCCTAGAGGAAACCTGCTGTTGGTTCAAATCGAGCAAAGAGTAAACACTGAGCTGAGGCAGTCTGACCGCACTCTGCTGCTGCCACCTACTGGTTACACAGGAGAATGACATCTGTTTTTAAAGTGTTGCTCTTGGTTCATTGTATTTTGGTAAATAATTCCATTATAAAACTCAAAGTGCTTCAGGCTTTAAACTTGGTTATATTTTAGGTTCATATGAGATATGTATTGTCAGCTCGAATGTGCCCAGACCTTTATCAACAAATAATGAGGGGCAAGCAGAGACATTTGTTTAGCACTCTGCAGTGTTTGGCCCTGTGCAGAATTTTAAACAAAGCAAGTGTGTCTTTCCTTACACATGCATATAAGGCCTAAAAGTATATATAACAACTTTCCGTCATAGGCTAAAATATCAAATGTGTTATTATATCATGCAAAGATACTATTTATTAGGAATGTTTTATCTTAATCCCTACACTGTTTGCTGGGTTTAGCAATCCTAAACTGCCTAGGTTTTGTTATGTGATTAATACACCGTTTATTTCTGATTAATAGGTTTTTTTCTTTGTGTCTCCCTGGAGAGTTCATTGTCCTTAGATGGTATAATAACAGACAAGTTGCTTCAAAAACAACACCTAAAAGACATTTGTCCATGTCTGTTTGTGCCATCAGAAAGCCCTTGTGGACCACCCCTCACAGAAGTGTATTCTGCGTCATGTTCAGGCCCTGCAACTGGAAACCTAAGTGCGGATCATGTAAATGTGTTAAGGCTGTAGTTGTTCCGCAGTAATGCCCCCATCTTTATGCTGGAGTACGGCTGCAGATTAGAGTAACTCCACCAACCTTCAGCCCGGCAGACTCTCCATTCGCCTCATATCAGCCAGTAAAGTCCTCATTGTTGCGGCCACCATTCCCGCTCCGCAGGGAGTCTTTCTGAGCTGGCTTCTCCATCTCATTCCCACTCTCCCATCCTGGTTTCTCTGTAAGGAGAGAGAAATACACTGTTATTGTGTCTGCTTGCACACACAGACACACACAGATAGACACACACACACACACACACACACACACACACACACACACACACACACACACACACACACACACACACACACACACACACACACACACACACACACACAGGGAAGGGCTTAAGCAGGCTACCCTGCTGTGTTAGCGCCTAGCATAATGCGTATGCTGCCCCAAGGAGACGGAGTGAAGGAGGCCGCTACCAAGCCTTCACGGAGATGTAGTAATCCCATACGGGATCAACCGCAAGGTGCAGCCACACGCCTGTACACGCATACCATCACGTCCGTGGATCAGAGAGAAATTGAACATCACAGATAGACATCCAGGGCCCTCCTTTAAGTGATGCATGTCTTTCAACATCTCCGCTGTCACTGATAATGACAGGGATTTACTCAGAGGACAAGAAGGGAAAGTTAAAGATGGAGGATAATGAGAGAAGAAGGATGCTGTTGACAAACTGAGACCCTCAAACATGAGATGACTTCTGGACCACCACCGCTCTCAACGTTATGTAGCAAAGCACAGGGCAAAACATATTCATATACAGTCTTTCAGAGGCATTCTATAGTGGGAATATTAAGACTTTACAACACATTATGATCATTGTGTAGTCTGAAACGATAGAAACAGACAAACTCATACTTACCCCTTCTCATGTGAAAATGACAACATGCCGGAAGCAATAAAAAATACATGATCTTATATTTTTGTTCCAATCCACAATTTTTATTTTGTGATAACCCATTTTCTTAAAGTGGACCTATCATGCTATATTTGAATAATATAGTATAGGACCATACCTATATAAGGCATATTTATCCTTTTTTGTTTTCAAAATACCAAACAGATCATGCATTTTAGCCATGCCTCATTTTGCTCAATTTGACATTTTTTAGCTCTGTTTTTGCAAGGGCAGATTCAGTGAGAACAGCACCATCTACAGGCCTGGCATATGTACTACAGCGTCTCCAGCGCTTTCGAACGGCAATGGCCGTGGCTGTCTCCTCCTGATTGGTGGAGTTGGCCCAATAGACGTAGCGCCACCGTCCTGACGTCAGGACAGTGTTCAAATCTGGATCAGTTTTTATCAGATCCGTTGCAGCCCCTTTTTTAGAGATTTGGGTATGGAGGAAAATAGAGAGGGTTGTGTTTTCTGACACTTGGTGAGTTCCCTGGAACACCGGGGACACATATTCATGTATAAAAGACGTACAAAAGTGCATTTTGCATGATAGGTCCCCTTTAAGTAATAGACTATTCTTAACAGAGCACTCTTACCGAGCTAAGAACAAATATCGTAGTTTTCATAACAATTTGTTTGTGTAATGCAAGGGAAAATACTGTATGCTTTAAATGTAAGGAACCTTAAGAATAATATAATAATAGTATAGTTAAAGTAAGGTTACTATATGCTTAAGAGGAATTATAAAGATTTGATTATTAGAGAAATAAAATTGGTCCTTTGATCCCAATTAAGAGTAATGGTTCCTTCTGAGGATGACGCTCGAGAAAACAACACTTTTATTTTACAGTACCTTAATTTAAATAGTGTCACATTTTTTTTTTTAGGCATTTTACAACTCCCAATATTTGGCTATGTGCCAAAAAAAAATGCTACTAGAGTGTCATTTTTTGGGGTTCTCATTTGAAATTGTCTTTTTTTTAAGAAGACCAAACATTTGTACTCACCCAAAGTTATCAACTTCAGTTTCATTTATTAAATAATTGTATCTATATTGTTACATCACTTGAAATATTTATTTGTATATATTGAGCTTATAATAGCCATCACTTGACATTTTCATGGTCTCACAAACCATCATATGAAGCTGTATTAGCCATAGAAGCTTTCTCTCATACTTTGTCATCCTTCTTTTTGCTGCTGCTGTATCACGTAGCATTTTTTGTCTGCTAAAGGACTTCATTTTTGCAGCTATTTCATGTTCATTTTGTGTCACGCTCTGTATCTGTCTCCTTCCTGTGTGTCCCTCTCCAGGCAAAGAGCTTTTATCATGCCGGCCACAGTTGCTTGTGTGCTTGAGTGGGTCAGAGCTGCATACGTAAAGCAGTAAAGGATAGACTTGACCTCTTTGTTGCAATCATGAAGTCTTATTGGGTCAGCGATTAGGATTTGATGAAAAGTGAGCCATTGGGGCATCAGTTGCTCACAGTGCACCGACTATTAACTAGCCACGTGTACACACACACACACACACACACACACACTCCTGCAACCCTTGCCCCTCTCTTTCTTCTCTCCTGAGGGACCCAGTTAACCTGTCGCTGCATTTAAGAATAATGATAGGCTGCTGAAAGGTTAGGGAGCTCTAATTGAGTTGTAAAGCGGTTGTTGGCGAGGTGATGACATTTCTCTGGGCTGTGCTGTGTCACAGGGATCTGAGCACACGCTGGGCCGAGTGGAGGGAAAGGGCGAGGACGCTATTCCTTTGGTGTAATCCTGCTCTGGCAAAACAAAGGCGGTTGTTGTCCTCTCTTTAATTTGGGAACTAATTATTAGAATAGTGCTGCAGCTAATAATTGTTTCCATTCTTTCTTAATCCGTCGATTATTTTGTTGATTAATCTATTAAGTACCTGGTCCATTAAATGTCATACAGCAAAATGTACCTATTTTAAAGGGGCCCTGTTATGCTCATTACAGGTTGATATTTGTATTATGTGGCTCTACTGTGACATGTTTGCATGTTTTAATGTTCCAAAGGGCTTTGTTTTTCTCATACGGCCTGTTTGCTTTTTTCACCCTCTGTCTGAAAACAGAGCCCAGTCTGCTCTGATTGGTTAGCTGACAGGCTCTGTTGTGACTGGTCAATTTCTTAGAGATGACCCGCCCCTTAGCCTATCACGTGTTTCTATACAGCATCACAATATCTTGATACTTTAAAGTACCTGTCATTTTGTACACCCCTAGTAAAAAATGAAGGTTACCATATCCATAAAATCTTTATATACATAATACAATATAGTCTAACTAACATAAGACCAAGAAAAATACTTTCATTTTAGACCCGGTAACGGTGGATCTTTGCTGTTTTTGCATGAAATAAATCATGTTCTGTTAATAAAATCATTGAATAATAATAAACTAACGGTAATCCCTGAAAGAAAATCTACTCAAAATAAAGCCTGGAGCTGTTCAGTCACTAGGCCTCGGTGTAGTAAGTAAATAGTGAAGGAAAAAAGCCCTAGAAATGTGCCAAACTCTACCAACTAACCCTAATCATAACTCTCTTTTTCTTGTTCATCAGAAAATTCTACAACATCTGCCCGAGAAGATCTACAACAGATGGCAGTTTCACAGTATTGGTATGTATTGCTGACATGTTTTGTTACTACCATATTAAAACCTTTGTCTCTCTGTTACACCTGACTGATAGATGCCACTGTGTTTGCATCTTTCCTCCTTCTTATGTAACCTCCAAGATACACTTTAGGACAAATCATCCCCAGAGCCATGCCTAAGCCTTTCATAATAAAGAGAAAATAATCAGTCTTGGGAGGGGATGTAAATGTGAAATGCAAATGAGCACTTCATTTGAAATGCAAATAGGTAATTGAATTATGCTGCTATGATTTCAGTCCCTTACAAAAAAAATGAAAAGGAAATCCTTGCAAGGAGCGATAACCCCAATTATAACTGTTGTTTTTCAGCCGTCGGCATCTAAACAGTGTGGGTCTAGATCCCGGTTGTAGATCAGCCTTCTCCCTCAGGCTTCTAATTCCACATATCAAGACTCATCTGAGGTCTGATGCCCTTAGACAAATTCACCACTTCGTCATTCATTGGAAAACAAATCTTCACAAGCTTAAAGCTGCCTCTTGGCTTTTTCATGAACTCGCATAGAATATTTCCCCGGGTCACTGGTCAAGATGCTCTCCTTCCACTCTGTTCTTCTGCTTTTGAAGGAGCATCAGCAATGGAGGCTGAATAGCTTCCCGCCATACCTGAGTTTGATTAGAATTGATCTTTTTTACTTCACATCATGTTTTTAATCATTTTCTTCATCCAGTCGCTCTGCTGAAAGTATTTCAGAGGTCTTGTACAAACGCCTTGGGAGGAATGACTTTAATGACTTATGATTTGATAGTGATTTTGTGCTTTTATCCGAGGATTGCAAGGTCAGATGTTTGACACAGACCATTAGAAGCTGGAAGAAGAATCCCCACACCTTTTAACATCATTCTTACTACTACTTCCTTCTCTCCTGAGACTAGGATCTCTTTATGTGGCCACCAGAGAAATGTTATTGATTGATCTGGTTGAGAGGGGAACAATAAAAGCACCAGACAAACAGCCTTGTAAACTCGCACACAATAGACTTTGCTATGCTTTTAAAATAACTCCGCCACTTCATTTGGGCGTCAAATCCCTCAGTTGGGTACCGTCTTGAACAAGACTTAAAAGTATAATATTTAACATTTCTGCAATACTAAAGGACTACCTATACAAGGTTTGTGCAATTGCATTATCCCAAAACACCCAGAAATGTCTGTAATTGTATCACGGTAACGTTGAGTATTATTTGGTAAGAATAATAGCGTCACATCCCCTTGCCCCCCCTCTAGTTGCTTCATAGGAAAGGAGGAAAACACCACATGTTAGAGAGTGAGGAAGGAAGTTGAATATCCAGTAGAGACTTTTTAATTGATACGATAATTCAATTTCCATCCATCATACTATGAAGTGTTGCAAAGACAAGAAGATAATGCCATCCGCCCAGATTATGACCATTCAACAAGGTCCTAAAATTATTTTGAGTATGACTGTTTTGACCACGCAATCTACGGTGGCAAATGCGTTACAACAGCCCAACACTTTTCCATTAGGAGAAAAGCGGAGAAATCCACGTTCTGGGATTATCCAGCGCGTTTGCACGTGTCAGCTAGCGTGGCTATCAGCACTGGGCTGTTATTCGTGGGTGCTTGAATTGGCCACATAATGTTAGCTACAGTAGCTGTATGTGTGGGCGTCTCTTCTAATGGTAAGTAAGCAATGCAACGTTACTAAAGCTTGCGTTACTTGATCCTTAGAATTTAATGACAAAACGTGAACAGACTTAATGAGAATTAAAACATTTATACATTAACTTGTCCTTGAATGTAAAATCAGATTTTCGTGGCAATGTTGTTTTTTATTTGTCCCATGATCCCATGCTTCTTTACATTACATCAAAGTCAGTGTTTTATTATTGTTTTCATTGAGAGACCCATAGCGTCAGAAACAACACACTGTGCGTTTGAACACACCACTGGAGAACATTCATTTTTCGCCCTAGCATGATGACCATTTTATCCTCAGTCCTTTATTGAAATCTCCACAGCACACAGAGACCTCATAAGTACAGGGCTGTCTGCAGGCTGTCAAGAGCATGTCATTACCCACACACACAGAAACCTCTTCCGCTCAAGGTATTTAGCAATCAGAGCAATGTCTCATGTGATTACAGCGGAACCAGATTGCCTTCATGAATGCATGTCGCTGCCAACTGATGTTAATTTTCATCAGGAAAATGTGAAGCCTTGCCACTCTCTCTGGTTTGTCAGCCATCAAGGTCAATTTGCCACAGTGGAGATTACAAGCGGGTCCTCCATAAGCTTTGTACTGGCTGTTGTGTTTCTGCTTGCCGTGTAGACTTCTATTGAAAATCTCTTTTTTAGTTTCTAACAACCTTATCCACCCTGGTCACACCCCATCCCGCAGGCCCCTTCCACAAGAAATACATTAATCATTATGTAGTAAAAGATAATAAAAAAGGAAATTAATTATACAATACAATACAAAATGTAATTCATTGTAAAAAATAAAAGAATCATAATACATTGTAATATAGAAAATAAATAAAACAAGGGAGACAATAAGAAATATGCAAGTATACGAATAGTAAATAGTTAATGGCACCAAGGCTGATGTAACACTAAAGAGTCCCGGACTTAAAGGGCCAGTAACAAGGGACGTACACACAGGAACATGCACACGCACATCTAGGTTGTACATTAATTTGTACTTCTATTTTTTCCAGGTTCTATTCTGAAAAAGCTTCTACACACTGGAAATTCATTCAAGGTAAGTGCTGTTTTCCTTCCCACATGATGCACTACACCACTTCTCTTTTATGTATCAGTTAAAATCGTCCCACCCTTCTCCCGTGTAGATCCGCTGCGAGGGGATCCGTCTCTTCCTGCTGTGGCTGCAGGCCCTGAGGGACAACTGTGCCGAGGAGCAGTTCCTTATCTTCGCTTGTCTGGTGCCGGGATTCCCCGCTGTGCCCTCCTCCAGAGGGCCTTGCACCCTTGACACCATCATTTACAACCCCTTCTCCAACCCCCCTGATGGTGCATATGAATATTCCTACATGTTCAAATTAATAATGTGGAAGTCTGAAACATACTAAACTGATATCCAGTTGTGCATATTCCTTTTAATTGTTAACTCTCATTTCTTACACTTCACTCATCTCTTTGTATGTGTGGATCTGAGCAGCCAAGGTGGTGCCTGAGGAGATTACCCCCCTGGTCCCGGCTGTGGTTGGAGAAAAGGTTGCAGAGGATCAGACCTGTTACATCCTCGAGACTCTGCTCAAGTACATGGTCATCCAGGTAACAACTACTTATGATTGGAAAAGACTACATCTCTTTTTGCCAGATTATCGGTGTGTGTTTGTTATAATGTTGATGTCCTTTATCACAGGGTCACATCAGTGGCACAGGTCATATTCTAGTGAAGGGCTGCATATAACAAAGGAGGGACATGTGTTTATATGTGTTTATTGTATTTTTGTCATTTCCTTCGGGATAAATAAAGCCCTATCTCATCTTGTGTTTGTGGCTCATGGTTCACGGCACGATGCATAATGGGCCTCCAAAAGTTCGATTTATCTTTTTTGATCTTTTTTTTTGCGTTACACAATATATTTTGATATTACTGCAATAATTGTTTGATGCAAATGATCATACCAATGTGATACCCTGCTTTGAAGGGTCTCCTAAATTGTTCTCAGCAAGGAAGGACTTACAGGGTAAAATAATCCTTCCAAACAATGCATCTGTATTGCACCTGTATATGTAAAATATACCATCACCTTGTATACTATGTGTCTGTTGTCATGGGCATGGAGTAATGTGAGGTTGTTTATAATCCCTTTGTTCTACAGTAAGATTATAAAGCTAAATGATTTATCAGTAGTTAAGTGCGTAAAGTTCAAGTCTCTGAATGTTGTGCCTCGGCCAAACCATTTCCCCTTCTGTGTACTGTTTGTTGGAGGAACCTTCACAGTATTGTGTTGCAAACAATGCACTGCAGATCTCTGAGTGATGCTGGAGCCTTCCTCTCCTCTCCCTGTAGCCTGACCTTGTCTGCCTTCTGCTCTCTGTCTGCCAGGCCTCCAGTTTAGAATGGAAGAACAAAGAGAACCAGGACACAGGCTTCAGGTTTCTCTTCAGCCTGTTCAAGAAGTACTACCTTCCACATCTCTTCCCCTCCTTCACCAAGCTCACAAATCTCTACAAGCCTTTACTAGGTAAGCTGACTTACAGTATACATGCTGTACACTGTATTTGGGCTGAAGCCTCTTTAAAGGAAATATGTTGCACACTAACTACACACTGTAGTTAAACTCAAGAGCAGCCATTTAAGCATAACAATCTCAATTTGACCATTTATCTTGTGCAAGTGTTCAATGAGAATTAGTAAAAGGAGAAAATGATCTGTAGGACGTGGGGACAGTAAGCATATAATTACAGATATATTTATTGTGACAAAATCTTTAGCATATTATTAAAACATTTGTATCGTTACGTTATAAGATCATTACACGCAGAAACACATAACAATTTGAAACATTATTTATAGAATAATTTAAAAATAATGAGTATATTATTTTGGGTTGTCTGTAACCCTATTCAACATGCTTCTTGTTCAAATCCAGTTTTTGTATTATTATTATTAAATAAGTAAAACCATTTTGCTCTTCTCCTTTTCTCCTTTTGTCCTTCCCCTCCCTCTGTCCCCATCCCTCACTCTTCACTCTACTATATTGCTCGATTAGACCTCCCCCACCACAGACCCAAACCCTTGTATGTGCCAGTGACGCGGAACAATGAGAGCACCTTCTGCACCAGGGACCAGTACCTGTCCCCCCGCGTGGCCTTCATCACCTGGCTGGTCACCTTCTTCCTGGAGAAGAAGTATGTGAGCAGTGCTGCTGCGGCGCAGAGCGCCAAGAACGGCACAGAGGTCATTCCCAAACTCATCCAGGTGTGCACGAGAATAACACCCTGTTTATTTCTCATTCTGTCACTGAGGAGGGAGGCTGTTATGAAGGTGTTGTTGCAGCAAAACCCCTGAGCACAAGCTGCAAGACACCTGGCCACAAAATACTGAACACACGTATCACTTAGAAAATAGTTTCAAGAGTTGCAAACACCATTAAAATACTATAAAACACAAAAAGGGTGTTTTATTCATGTTTCAATTCAATTTGTGAATGTATGTTATGACAGTGAACTAGAATAATTGCTTGCGGAAAAGTTTTGATTAAATATTTTTTAACCAAAAGATATTAATATCTAAAAGTCTAATAAAACACACAGTTGTAGCATCACCGCTCATAATCCCTTTTGAAGTCCTGAAAAGTATTAAAATACTTTATAGAAGATAAGATCTACTTCTATTTATCCCAATTTGGTAACATTTTTCATCTCAGCAGCATGTAAACAAGGCATTGTACACAATGTGAAAATTAAAAAGAGTAGAAAATATAACATCTCAACATTTGCAAAAATTAAACAAAAGTAAAACATATATAAATATTGACGGTGAAATTGTGATTGACCCTTTTTGGCATTGTGCCTTTACACAACACTAAATTGAGTTACAGTTTTATGGGGAGGGAAAGAGAGGAATTAAATCCAGCATTTATTATTTGAATTGCATGAAGGTGAGAAAACATTTGAACAGTAATGACCAATACAGTATCTCATTCCCAGAAAATACCATAAAACACAGATAATTGACAAAGGGAATTCTAGTCAATGAGACTCTAGTGTCCAATTACTGAATTGTGCAGAAGCGTCTGTGCAGCAAACTAAGGTGACTAATTTCTCACTGTGTCTCCATTGTGCCCAGACTGTCACTGCGGGCAGTAGCAGCCAGGAGAAGGAGAAGGATAAGACGTCAGACGGGGATACTAACGGGCCAGCAGGGGAGCCGGAGAAGAGCCACTCCAACAGCAGCACGCTGTCAGACCGCCGGCACAGCGACTCCAGTCTGTGTAGCATCGAGGAGGAGCACCGCTATGTGTATGACATGGTGCACGCCATCCTTCTGTCCACCAGAGACAATGTGAATTTTGTCAACGAGGTCTTCCACCAGGTACAGGGCCAACAAGAAACATGTCTTGATTTGATGTTGCAATAATGAATACAATTGCAAGTATTATTTTGGGTCAAGCAGACTGAATGAAGACACTGTGATACCATGTACTATGTCGCCCTCTGCTGGCCATTTGATAACATAGCTAAAAGATCCCTTCTATTACCAGGCAACCTTTTTCAAAACCATTCATACTTCTGTAAAAGCTCAAATTAAAAGTCCATGTTTTTCCCCTAAGGCCTTCCTGCTGCCGTCTTGCGAGGCATCAGCAACCAGGAAGGTGATTAAAGTGTACAGGAAGTGGATCCTGCAGGATAAGCCCAGCTTCATGACGGAGCCTGAAGTACCGACTCCGGGAGAAGAGATAGATGGCCGCCCTGAACAGATACTCAGCTCAGAGGCTAACAGCATGCACGTACAGGTACCGAAAGCCAAATATAACAACTTAGCATAACATACAAGTATACCTATGATGGGTTTTTATTGTAAAAAAGGTCAAGAAATTGGTACCGTTGCCTTTTTTTGTGTGATTTTGCTTCCATTACTGATATAAGCTAAAAAAATAACACTACAGTGGTCTCAAAGTAGCATAGATAATCAAGCCATGACCATAACATATTTATACTAACAAACATGTGTGGTCTTTGCTATTTAGTAAAGGATTTGTCAAAATATCTTCGCTATTGCCTACTGACAGTTGTTGAAAGTTAATTTACTCAAATACTTTACCTAAGCACAATGTGTTTTATTTGTACTACTTTATATTCTACTCCATCACATTTAAGAGTAGAATTACACTTCCCTGCATTTATCTATTTAATTACTTTGCAGATTGAGATATTATTTTATAATATTTATAATAATAAATAATAAAACAAATATATTTTAATATCAGAATATACCAATGAACAATGTATGATATATTACAGATTTAACTATCCAGCAGTATATACAGAAATTGAAATAAGCCCAACCTTTCCCAGCTTCAATATTAAAAATAGGAAAACATGATTGCATAAATAGTTATAATCCAGTAATGTAATATATGATTTTGAAACGAAGCATTAGTGACATTAGTAGTTTACTTTTTACACTGTTGTTTTGCTACTTTTGTTTAAGTTAAAGCTCTGAATACTTACTGCCTACTGACCAATTGACTGGTCTGCTTTCTCTTAAACCAGTCGGCAGAGAGTCACGGCCACAGACGCTCGTCCAGCTGGGGGAGGACTTACTCCTTCAGCAGCGCCATCAGCAGGGGCTTCTTCACCGAGGCGCAGAACAGGGACGTCAATGCTGGCATCCAGCCCACACTACAGGTCTGTCCCTGAAGATCACAGCATTTAGGAACTGGAATCAGAAATTCATACTGTTGACTAACTTCCTCTTGCTTTTTGCTCGTGTGGAGGTGTTCCTGACCAACTCCTCCAATGTTTTCCTGCTGGAGCCATGCCAAGATGTAGCTAAACTCCTGGATAACCAGGTGGAGGTGTGCAAGGGTGTTCTCAGCATCTACCGGCACATGATCATGGAGCACACGATGAACACACAAACTTGGTCAGTGAGATATTCTGATAGAGTTATTCCTTTGTGATTCTTGAATGTTATTTTAGTGATCAATTCACCCTTTGGTTTTGATTGACTTTGTTCTGCAGGGAGCAGATGCTGCAGGTACTGCTGAGGATCACAGAGGCAGTGATGAAGAGGCCACAGGAAAACCAAAGAAAAGACAGCTTCGCTGAAAGTTTAGCATCTATACTTTTTAGGGTATGTCTACAGGTGCCTTTTACATTCACTGACTAACAGGGTTTGCTATTCATCACAGGCAAAAAGGGAGTGAGTGTGGATGTCTTTCCTCCAGCGAGTAGTCCCTCACTGTAGTTCACTATACAGAACATTCAATGTACATAATTCTATGCAATTTCCTTTACAATTATGATTTGTTACTCAGTAACCTATATTCACTTGTTGTGTGTCTCCTGGTTGGATTGACAAAAAGCCAAAGAGACACTCTACCAAATGAGATGTATCAGTGTGAAGACCCTGCTGTCACATCTTATCAGGGGATGGGATTCAGAGCTGTCTGTCCATGCTAATACATCTCTCCTCGTCTCACATTCAGACCATCATCGTGGCGTGGGTGCGAGCCAACCTGTGCGTGTTTATCTCCCGGGAGCTGTGGGACGAGCTGCTGGCAGTGCTGTCCTCTCTCACCTGCTGGGAGGAGCTAGTGACGGAGTGGGCCAGCATCATGGACTCGCTGACGGCTGTGCTGGCGCGCTCCGTTTACGGCCTGGACATGGCCAGCCTGCCTCTGGACAAACTCAGCGAGCAGAAGGAGAAGAAGCAGAGAGGACGTGGTGAGAGGGGGGTGGGGGAATGGAAATTGGGAGTGGTAGAATTTGGGTGAAATTTTGTTTTTGAAAACTGACTTTTGGGAAGGTAATGCTGGTTACTTTACAGCTTTGTTTTGTCATACACTTTACTTTAGGGTGGTTGTTTTTATTCTATCACTTTAACATGAAAAATGTATGTTAATTATTGTCACAATGTTCTAAAAACAATGTAAAGAAGTATTAAAATACCTAGGGATGCTCCGATCGCCAATTTTGGGGCCGATCGCCGATCGCCGGAATCAGTATCTGCCGATACCGATTGCCGATCCGATCGAGTGGGCGGGGCCTAAATGGAAGATTTAAACATCACTTTAAATCTTCCATTTAAAGTGATGTTTAAAACTCAGTTAATGCTCATTCACTGGAGCTTCCACAAACAACAATCAACTTAATTATTACATTCAAATTATGTATATTATTCAAGTTTACATTCACTTTGGATAATACCACGGGAGAAATTAGCAAGCTCTCTCCCCCTCTCTCTCCCCCTCTCTCTCCCCCTCTCTCTCCCCCTCTCTCTCCCTCTCTCTCCCCCCCTCTCTCCGTCTCCTGACAGCCCGTCAGTATCGTCTCATGCAGCTCGCTGATCCAGTAATGTGTGAGGCCGACAGTGAAGAATAAACATATTTATAACTAGTTTAGCTTGTTCCAGAGGTAGATAAAATAGCTAAGTGTGTTAGGTCTAACTCTCAGTGTGTGTTTCGCTCCGCTCACCGCCCGTCACAGCGGGTGGAGCTGCAGGGTTTCTGCTTCACACACACGTTGCATACCGCTATTTTACTGTCTTTTTCGGACACCTTAAAATAATGCCAGACCGGTGAAGCCATTTTGGCGAGCTTGTTTTGCCGCGTACAGAGAAAAGTGTCATGTATTTTACGTCATGCGATCGGCCCTCGCGATCGGCATGTTTAGAGAGCACCGATCGATCGGTAGAGGGTGAGTATCGGCAGATCTCGATCGGTGACCGATCGATCGGAGCATCCCTAAAAATACCCACATTTGTCAAAAATCCCCTTGCACTCAACATCATTTTTATAGATCTGGCTGAGATTTCTGAACATGCCAGACATCTATATCTATATAAAAGATTACAATCTATGTGGCCTTTACATTTCTTTAGTCAATCACTACAATTAAAACACAACAACTTCAAATATAAAAATGTGTCTTGCAGACAGGTAGAACACACAGAGACTTAGACACACAGCTTCAGGTACAAAAAACATATTTAAATGCATGAATACGCAAGTTACATCAGGATACCAACATTATAATCAATGGAGGAGAAAAAGCAGAACTTCTGTCTTTTTCCAGCTATGCAGATGTAGATTTTCCCTTTTTCTTTGTTTTCCACACGAAATGAATACGACATAAAAACTGCCCAACTTCCATCCATCAGTGTGCACTGCTGTCAGCCAGAGTGACACTTCCACTAGTGGTCGCCAAAGTCATTCATGTTCAAATCCTACACAGTGTGGATTTGACAATGAGCTCATTCAGATACAGCTAAGCAACAAGAACTTTAAGAAAATGGGCCATCAGACATTGACAGCTACTACATCAGTGTGTGGGGTGTTATTACTACAGTGTTTTAATGGCTATGATACCATAATCACTATAACGGTTAACCCTGTTAACTGTTTTGCATGCCAGTAGATGTTGTTGGTGCTAAATCCAACTATCAAGCTGAATATACATTTTAAATGTACTCTGACACCTCATGAATCAGCAAGTGTTGTTCTCTGCTTGCAGGTGCGCTCCAGGACTCCCAGAAGGCAGCAGCAGTGGCGCGTTCCTTCTCACTGAGTCGGAGAAACCAAGGGGAGCAGGGCGTGCCGGGGGGGCAGGAGCCCATGAGGATTCGCTCCGCCACTACGTCAGGAGCCCCCGGTGTAGAGAAAGCCCTTTACAATGTCCGACAGAAGGCCTCCGGTGAGTACCTGGGGTATTAGTAATAGCATTAGTATCGTGTGTTATATTATATACCATCATAGCAGGCAATAATATAATACAAAGCTTTTATAAAACCCACTGTAAGTAGGCTTCTGTTTTAATCCTCTGGCTTTGTGTGGGCCTACAACAGTACTGATAAGCCCTCGGAGCGCAGCGTCAGGTTTTATCAGACGTATTGACAGGTCCGTGTACACGTTGGCCCAGGTGTCACTGAAAGGCCCAACAACAAAGACAAAGAGGCCAGCAGATGGCCCCCATTGTTCCCCCTCACATGTCACCGGCCAATGTCAACATGTTTCCATGTCAGCTCGATTGCGGGCATACAGCACAATCCCTCCCCCCCCCCCCGTCCACCGTCCACCGACAGCATGTCAAAGGCCATCTTTGGACACTTATTGTCATTACCTCAATTCAGACATAGCAAACACCTCTTATCTGATGGGAGTGTGGCAGGCTAATTATAAGTTGAGCTGGAAGGCAGTAGGGTAGTAACTAGCTGCAGTGCCTGTCTTGCTCGTCTTAATTTTGTCTAGACAGAATCTTAATTTGGAGGATAAAAGACGGAGACGATGCCTTTTCCTTTCTTGGCCTTCCGCCTCCCCAATTACCACCGACGTACTAAATTGACGAGCTTGTTGAGCTAGGAGCAGATGTATTTGTGCCTGAAGGATGAAGTCTTAGAAGGGTGTTGTGTGTGTGTGTTTGTGTGTGTGCTGACACATCTATTATGTGTTTCGTGCATGTTTATGCACCTATTCTGTTTATTTGTATCGAGCAAAGATGGACATTAAACACTACCGCTTCAAATTCCCTTCCCTTTCTTTGGCCTAATTGGATTTCTCCCACATTGATCTTCAAAGGCCCGCAGCCCTCCTCCCCACTCCTCAAGAGAGGGCCCACACATCAATTGCACGGCAGTTTTTGATAGTTTCATTAAGAGTGTAATTAATGCTCATTAATATGCATAAATGGGAAGCAGTAGTGGGCTGCAGCGCAGACGATGCATCTCTCTTACTGAAAGGCATAATTAAAGTGTGCTGAAAGCGGAGAATAGAACTGTCCTCTTTCATTGCTCTCTTTGAGATAAAGCCTGAAGTGCTATCCACACACAATGGCAATGCCTCAGCATTGACAACTGTCAAAACTTGGCTCTACTTCTGCATGCAAATTCAAACTAATATTGTTCAGAGATCGTGTCTTGATAATAGGGAAAAGGCTGGTCATATCATTATGGCACTCATTATGCTTTCACTGTTACAATGACCCAGTTAAACCAGTTCTTGATCTGCCAGCCTTAGGATGGTTATCAGGTTCACCTTAAGCTCAATTGTGATGTATACCAAAAACAAAAATATAAAAAATAGATATTATATTGAGATAAACCATTCCATTTATTTTTCTTATTACATTGAATTTAATTATTTGTTTCCGATTGGGAAATTCAATTGGACTTAATTGCATGAAACTAAGACATTTTTGCCCATTACTCGAGAGTTAATATGCTTAGAATGAAAATGCACAAAGATGACTTATAGGATAACACGACATTTGGACTCCGACAGTAATTCCATTTATTTTCCTTTTGCTATGAACCTTATTTATAATTTCCTTCATAATCAGATGTAATGTATTTCTGTGTATAACCATATGTAGATCAAACTCTGTATCTGCTGTGCTTTATTTACTCACTCTGTACTCTGCTGTTATTGAATTCTGTCTCCTTCCCTTCACCCTTTTCTTCTGTTTCCACTGCCTTTCTTTCTTTTTCCTCTCCTTTTCTTTTTCCGTGATGGAAGCTAAGCGAAGCCAGTCCATCAGCAACTGTGTTCATCTGTACGAAGCTTTGCCCAATGCTAAAAGCGTTCCTATGCTTCTCCACACTGTGAGCTCTTTCTTGCCTGGTATCTCTTCTGGTAACTCTGCTTGCTCTCACAGACTCTCAGGTAAAGTGTGTTCTGAGAGCTGCGTGTGTTGATGTGTTTGTGACCTCCGCCCTTCCTTTCAATCCATCTGTCACTATCTGTTATAAGCTGTCAGTTCCCACGTCTGCTGTCACTGAGAGGTTTATGTTTGAACAGGAACTTCACTGCCCTGTGTTTTACTTATTGTAAAGTGTGTTAAATCTCTAGGTAGAAATACAGTCTTTAACTAGAGTATGTCTGCGTCACCACTGCATGTGTGCATGTCATTATTTATCTCCAAAGTTCTCATGAATATGTTAAATCTTCAGCTTTACTCTGTTTTAAATCCTTAAAGACTACACATGAGATGTGAAGGTGTGTGTTGTGCATGCTGTTTGACTCTTGTGTCTCTGCCTGACTCCCTCTCTTCTGTTCTCCTGTGTGTCAGACGTGGATGAGGGTCAGCTGTCAGAGTGTGGGGGGGAGGAGGAGCTGGGAGGCGGGGATAGCCCTCTGCCACGTAGCAGCAGCACCTCCGACATCACCCAACAGCTCTCTGACACTTTACCAGGTACATACAAACAACACACTGAATTGTTCTCCTGACACCTCTGATATTAAAACCTTGGCCTCGCACTGGGATTGTTTTAAGAAGAGATTTAGCTGAACTACCTGTAACCCATTGGTTAACTTCAAAGGGAAAAGTCATTTGCCAGTAAAGTTTCTCTATAATGAATCACAACCCCTTATCATTTAATTCAATCCAATCTAATGACTTAAATCAATAGTTGTTTATCCTTTAATGTTTACTATATTTCAACAGTGGTTAAGAGACTCATATCCTTAGCCTAACTAAAAATTGAAATATAACAGTCTGAAATTATTTTTTAAAAGTGATGAGTTCAAAATGTTACTTAAGTTAAAGTACAGCAATATTATCAGCAAGATGTAGCTAATGTTAAAAAAAAATACTCGTTATCCATATAGGCCCCTTTCACAGTGTAACATAAGACAGTTAGTGTTGCCGTGATTGTTTTTTAAAGTGTATACGACTGGGTAGTACTGTGTCACATCATATAGAAGTGTAAAAGGAACTCACGTTTATTGTATTAATGATAAATTGAGTAAAACCATTTCCATTGATAGTCCGTCCCTGGATGTTAAAATGGAACACGTGTTGTCGAGGACATAAAGATAGTCGTAAAACAATATAAGCTTTTAAGATAACTTAATTGTGTCTTTTTTTGTCCATTTGAAATACCCCCTGTCACACTCCAGCCCAGAAGAGAGAGAGCTCCCCTACTTCCTGTGGCTCTGATAGCAGGACGTCTGAGGGGAAGAGAGAGGGCAACGAGCCACCAGTGGTGAAAAGAATCCTCTTAATATATGGTCTTAAATTAACTAAATAACATTTATCAATAAAAACATATTTTCTTAAATGTTTGTTTCTGTTTTCCTAGATCCTCATCCGGCGCAGCAGCAGTCCAACTGAGACAGAGGTCACTGCTGAGGGACAGTTAAACCAAGCAAGACACAAGCTCAGAGAGAAAAGTTAGAGATTACATCACTAATTATTACTCTAATATGATAATCGCTGTGTTTTAATGTATATAATCCACATGAAGATTTGCTCAATCAGTTAATCAAACATGAAAGTATCTAACAGAGGCCATTCTTTGCATGTATTAATGAGTCAGTCTTTAAACAGCAAATGCCTTCCTTCTACTCTGTGTTCAACTTCTTTAAGTCCTTTATCCACCTCATTCTCTCCACCCAGGTGAGAGTGTAAGCAGTGAGACGTCCAACGGCTACCTCAATGAAGCTGAGGTCACCTGGCAGGCGTTTGATGAGGAAGCGGACACTCAGTCCACACAGTCGGCTCACATGGACGTGACGGCGGACCCCCAGAGCCAGGGGAGTCTGCTGCTCAGCCATAATGAGGCTCTAGCAGGTATTGGGACGGATAAGAGTTCACCTTGAGTGCTAAGAGAACAGATTTGGGTCATGATTTATTCAATATGTCTATCAACTACAATCAGTTTGAAAAAAATTACAAGGATACAGAGCAAGGTTAACCTATATCACTCCATCGCTCTGTACCATATACCATAAACCTGTTTGGTCCTATTCAAATATTATATATATAAATAAGTGTTGAGTTTATAAAGGCTTAGGACTTTATGATGGAAGTATGTGACGGCCCGCCCAGGCTCTATTATGTGTCAAGTCGTTGCGGCTATCTTTTGGTTGATGCTTTCAAAGATTTGGTGATGGATTCAACCATTTTCAAACATTCAACACTTATTAGAATGAGCAAAAATCCCTTCAAAATCCCACTTTAAGAAACAAATACTTGGTAGCCCCACGCAAACATTCCTGCTGCAAACTTTTTAAATGAATAGATTTCTGAAAGATTTGCATTTTTTGGCATTTGGATATCAAGCCCATTTGTTCTGGAAACTGCTGTCAATGTACTTAAACCAGCCATATATCCTCTGAATTCCCTAAATATATCGTTTGTGGTTGTAAAGTAACATGAAGTTGTGATTATCCTAGAGTTCAAAACAGCTAATGTTTATACAGTGAGCTCAAGTTTCCCAAAATCACTACAATGAAAGGGCTTCATTGAGGACGAACATCATCAAACATCAATACAACTGGGCCTAGTTCATTCCCAAAATGGTCAGATATCCAGACAAACACAATTTATGCAATTCCAAAACTTTAGTAACCCTAGTGCAGAAACCATTGTTAAAAAAAGCAAATAATAACACATTTATACAAAAAAAAAAAGCCATGTTTTCTTGCCCCAAACTGCATGGAATCAGTGTAATTTGGCTTGTCTGTAAAGGTTAGACTTGTGGTTATCCAGAGAAACCACTTTCATCAAATATGTATCTTGATGCAAATATAGCAATGCCATTTTGTCCCTCTCAGAAATGTTGCCTTATTTAGGAGCAATATTTAGTCTCTTTCCAGACAAGCTAGCATGACATCATTGATACTAATGAATTCATTGGATTATATAGTTGTATATACTACCCTACCCCTAGCTTTAAAACTGAAACCGCTACAAAGGTAGGTCGGCTGTGGAAGAGGTAAAAACAGGGTTAGCAGTACAGCCGTAGAATTTGACCCTGTTTAGAATCCAAACAACTTAACCCCAGATTAGCTGTTAGCCATGCACGCTCAATAATGGAAGATGAGTTGAAAGATTTCAGCAGTTCAGCGAGTTCATCTGAGGTGTGTCCCATCCAGCTGCCTCCAGTTACCTCACTGGAGGCGACAATGGATTAGCATTAGCCAGGTAGAGTGACCCGCTGAGGAAACTTGATCATCAGTATCTGCTACAGTACCTCTCTGGCTTAGTCATTTCATATTTAAACCTGCTGACAGTATGTGTTTGAGTTCATTTGGACATTTTGTGAAGGCTGAGTGGTCAGCGGCCTACTGAAGTATTTCTGTCATTTGTATTTTGATAGGAAAATAATGAAGATCGCTGAAACTCTTTAGCTTTAAATGTGCCCACCCCTCAATCATTATTGATGTTGAGATTCTGTTCCCCCCCCCCCACCCTTGCATGTGAACTTGTGTCTGTGTTGTCCCACATTGTGATCATCATGAAGTTGTCACTCTTCCGTTGTCCCTGTGCTCCCCTCCTCAAACCCAATTTGATCCCTTCCCCCTTGTCCTTTTTAGGTCCCGAGTATCTCCTCCCTCCCCACTCTGCACCCCCGTCCTTCCACCACCACAACCACTACCAATACCCCCAGCACCCGCCCGCCTCCCCGGCCCTGCTGGTGCACACAGAGTGCCCCATGGACGACACCATGCATCAGTCTGTCTTACACATGCCACACCACCTGGGTACTGCTCCCTAGCTGCTACTCATCATATAGACTCATATACCATTGACTCTCCATGCTCTACATTTCTCCAGCCTTACCTTTACTTCCTTCACTTACACTACATTTATCCATGTTGTTTTGTTCCACTTGACTTGATTAAATGCACAACATTTAAAAATGGTTTTCCTTGGAACCAAATTAGCATTTAGCAAGTCCAACTTTGATTGAGCCTCAAAGAGTTGAGACGGCTTTCTTTTAATTATCACTTCAGATCTTCTACGCACACTTTCACTTGTTGTGTCTCCTTCCTGACCAGTACTCCCCTTCCCTTCCCTTCCCTTCCCATCGGTCTCCTGTTGCCCACTTGGTGGCGCTGTCCTCAAACAGTTCAACCTGACTTCATTTGGATGATGCATGTGACTCCTCTGTTTCCCAAAAGTGTTTCTATCCTTGATTCTGTTTGAGTGTCCACATAACTGAGTATTTTGCTGCATTTGGGAAAAAGAGGATTTTGTCAACAACCGCTCACACAATTACAGTACGGCATTGAACGTTAATTTCTTTTATGTATTACAGACGAGTATCTCAATTTAAAATACTTTTATAAAAGGTGTTGTGCATTTGTTGACTGAATCCTATTACTTCTTTAAAATGTATTATAATTTACTTTTTATAATTTACTGTCAGCTACAAATGAACATTTTACGTAATAATGTATTTTCACCCCGAACTCTCTCTGACCATGCAGACAGTAGTGAGTGTCTGGCTGATGACGTCAGCATAATTGCGGGTGGGACACTGACTGGATGGCATGCTGACTCGGCCTTTGTCCTGTGGAGGAGGATTTTGGGTATCCTTGGAGATGTCAACTGCATCCGCTGCCCAAGAATCCATGCCAAGGTCTTCTACTGCCTTTATGAGCTCTGGCATAAGCTGGCCAAGGTAAAGCAGACAGGACCACAAACGTAAAGCCTTGCATAGCTTGGTTCTCTTTTTTACTTCCTGTCAGCTGTTGCAAAGACAAAGCATGTCCAATAATTGAAAATCATGTTTATGATATGGTGCCTTTTTATTTGAGGTAATATTGTGGAATTTTAACACAGAAGCCTTTTGTACCCTTTACTTTCTCACATAAAGATTACTCCCACTGGTTTTGTTAATTGACTGAAAGTGACTTACAGATCCGGGACAACCTCGGGATTAGTGTGGACAACCAGTCGTCTCCTCCCCTGCCCGACTACATCCCTCCTCTTCGAATGCTGGCCTCCTGGCTCTTTAGGGTATCGACAACACACAGGCACAGCAGACAATATTCACAAAACAACAATTATGACAACAATAATGGAATACCTGCAGGCATAAAGAAAAAAAATTGCAAAAAAGTTTAGAGAACGTTTGGATATTACCATGTCCATAATCCAAAGCATTCTCATTAATCATTATAGTTATTTCATTTTTTCTAACCTCATCTATATGTCTTTATCATTTAAGTACAATATGTTGTATGTGTTTTCTTGGGGGAAGTGCCCTAATGCTCAGAAGGCAATTTGATTAGCAGCAACACGTTATGAACAGGACAGGACAGACAGTGTGACTAAGAATGTTTTAATTAGCATTGACTTATCGACTGTATCATTAACAACAAAAAAACAAGAACGTTATATGTGATATTCAAATAAAGAATTTTCCTCATTAATAGAGACAAGCAACTGCAGTGTTTTCAAAATTGGACAAAATCGATATATACATCTCGAATCCTCTCATCATAATAGATAACAGTTTTCAGCTCGTCATGATAATACTGACCTCATTATCCCCCCCCCCCCCCCTCCCTCTACAGTCCACCATGCTGCCATCTGAGTACAAGGCTGGGAAGCTGCAGGCCTTCAAGCTGATCTGTGAGATGATGACCCGGCACCAGGATGTTCTCCCCAACAGTGACTTCTTGGTGCACCTCTACCACACCATGCACAAAGGCATTACCAGCAACGACCAGGTACAGCCAGCAGGGGGCGCCCACAGTATGGCTGCCAGTTGTGCTTTTACTAACCAGTAGATGGCAAACCAGTCAAACCCATGTGATGCATTTGCATTGGTCCTGTTTTTAAAAACTGTACAATTAAGGTTTGAAGTCCCAATTTGACTTCTACTTTTTCCTGTGTGAAATGATGTCATATTCACCTGTTATTTGTTGGTGTAAATCAGGTAGCCCTTGGATTATTATCCACACAAAATATATGTCTTGTGCCAGACTGTACCTCCCAGGATTTAGGGGTCATATAGGTCCTGCAATTAAAGCTACTGTTCAGCAGTTGATTTTGAAAACAGCGTGCCAACCAGTGGTGATGAAGAATGCTTCAGTGTTTTGGCATCTTCCTCCTCCTTTAGCCACACCCTTCCTTGTATTTAAATCTGGCCCTGCTCCATTCCTCCCAGACGAAGCTGAGTGGAGATGAATGGAGTCCCCCCAAAACAAAGGACGGGGATAAAAGTGTGTGTGGGTGGGGGGGGTGTTTTGGATGCAAGTGTGTTTGAGTATAAATGCCCTCCTGGCTTGGTTTCTATTGCGCCTTGGCAGTGCGACAAGCTTATTAGAATGTTTTCCATGTCGTTAAATAATGTTTTGAGCCCCTGCCGCGTATACGTGATTAATTAAGGATTGACGTCTGTCGCGCTCCGTTGGACTGACACGTCGGCCAGGGGCCCGGAGTAGGCCGGCCTGCCTGTGTGTGTATGTGTGTGTGTGTGTGTGTGTACGCAAGTGTGTGTGAAGGAGCGGGAGGGGAGCCTGGGGAACGTAGTGCAGTGTAGAGCAATGAGGGGGGCACATTGAGGGACGAGGCTACATTCTCCAGCTTTTGTTGTGGCTCTGTATAATGCGTCGGGGGGGCCAGAGCCAGGCTGGCCACTGAAGCATGCTCAAATTGGCCGGAGAAAAGAGTCCTCACGCCACACAATAGAGGACAGCCGCACGCCTGCTTAACATAAGAAAGTGGCTCTTACTCTCCCCCTCCTCTTTCCTCTCTGTCTTCACCCGAAACCCCCACCCAAATAAAATAAAAAAGCAGGAAAAAAAACATACACATTTCCAAATCCGTCATACACGTAAAAATATTTATTTTTCATGCAATCTTATTTCAATTAGCTTGCATAAAAGTAGCCATCAGTACAGACTGCATCTTACATGATACTGCAAATAGTACGTTTAAAAAATGGTTTTGTTTTTGTCGTTATTCTCTGGTGTACATGTGTATCTTAAAATATTACAGTTTACAGGTCCAGTATTATTTTGAGACTACCTGTCTATCAAGAAATAAAAAGGTGCCCTAAACAGCCTTTGTTTTATAGACAACAGGGGGAAGCCCAGTGTCAATCCTCAACATTAAATTCACCTAAGCTTAGAGAAATGACAGCTTCCTTTGGAGGGGTTCTGCCTCCATCTGACAGAGTGCCAGGGTCAAGGCTATTGTCCTGGCTGTCATCCTCTGGTCAGGGTCTCACAAAGGCACGGCAAAGCACAAAGGCAGTAATCTATCTAATAGGTCTACTGTCTGGACTGCAATAGTCAACGGCATTTTGTGTGAGGTATGCTCGTGTTTAGATAAAAAAATGATGTATTACATAATTATTTGTTGAGAGATTATCTGGTGTGTTCTTAACACACCAGATAATCTAGCTCAAACTAACATTTAACTCGCCAGGTATTAGTGGAAGGACATACTTCCTCACCTGGGCTTTCAGACCAAATCTTTGTAAAGAGGGCCTATAATGCTCATTTTCAGGTTAATATTGATATGTTGTGCCTCTACCGTGACATGTTTACATTAGGGCTGTGCATCTTCACTGGTCTCACGAGTCGATTACAATTATCCTGTCTTCGATTCGATATCACGATGCATAACAATGCGTTGCATCCTCAATTTTCTATATTACTGCACATGGCTTCTTTTTCATCAATGAATACATGCAGTAAGATAAATATGAACTCCCTTTTTTATTATTTATAAAGTGCGTCAGAAATCAATAACATAAATGTCTTGACATTAAACCAAATTAAACCAATTGTATAGCTCTAGCATCTGTGTGTGAAATTGTTCCATCCTCAAAAACTAATACTTCTGCAGTCTAGCTGCAGCTTCTAGCAACGGTCTTCTGCTCCAAAAAGGACACTGAATGTCCTGAATGTGGCATCACAAACATGACTTGAGTCTGAACACAGCAGACAACAGGAGTATTTACAACAGCATATAAAAACAAAAATACTGCATGTGGGTGCACACTTACATTCTCTGTTGTACTATTACATAAATCCCATGATTGTAGGAGATTAAAGGGGACCTATCATGCAAAATGCACTTTTGTACATCTTTTATACATGAATATGTGTCCCCGGTGTTCCAGGGAACTCACCAAGTGTCAGAAAACACAACCCTCTCTATTTTCCTCCATACCCAAATCTCTAAAAAAGGGGCTGCAACGGATCTGATAAAAACTGATCCAGATTTGAACACTTCTATGTCGTCACAGAAGTGGCGCTACGGCTATTGGGCCAACTCTCCACCTATCAGGGGAATGTGGGGTTGGGCCACGGCCGGCCATTGCCGCTCGAAAGCGCTGGAGACGCTGTAGTACATATGCCAGGCCTGTAAGTGGCGCTGTAGTCTGCCACAAAAGCAGCGAAGAAGACTTCCCGCCCATAGTTACCATGGTTACCCTTCTGTTTATTCTCCGCTGTGGCTTTTTTTCTCCCTCCCCGAGGCAAGCGTTTGCTCCCGCTACTTTAATTCAATGCAATCCCTCCCCGTCGAGGCAAGCACTGTAATTCTCTCCGGTTAGTCCACCAGCAGATGACAAACACCCACCTCTCCGCCTCTTCCAAGGAACGAGGGGACCGTGCGGCAGAGTTTCAGTTTCAGTTTCTTTCGCCGGTCAAGATGTCCGTTAAAGTTGAAATCTTCCGGACAAAATTAGAAAAGTGCCGGTAAAAGGTCTTCTTTGTTATTTATTGAGCTTTAAAACAAATGAATAACGACTCTATAGGCCTATAACAATATAATAAAACACGGAGGACGGAGATCTTTTGTTCTCCCCCTCTTGACTTGATCAGAGCACGGCTTCCCTCTCCTGCAGGGGGGCGTGGTCAGCTGCAGCTCACAGAATCAGCCCCGTAGACAGCAAACAGCACATAGAGCGAAATGAGGCATGGCTAAAATGCATGATCTGTTTGGTATTTTGAAAAAAGAAACGTATACATATACCTTTATATAGGTATGGCCCTACAATATATCATTTAAATATAGCATGATAGGTCCACTTTAAGTTAGCTTCATCATATCTCAATCAGTGATTAAGTGAATAATAAAGTTTCTATCAGGTTACTATCAGCCTGTCACTCATTATTTTCAGGGAGGGGGCGGGGTTTGGAGGAACAGAGGAGACGGTGATCGCGGAAGCTTTCCTCCTGCCTTCACAAACTTTACACACGTAATTATCGTCTGAAAATAGCAAGAGGACATTCATACTCTGCAATCCAAGACTTAATTAAATCCACCAAAAACCTGACATGACGACAACGAGTGTTTTTCAAAAACATAAATCGATGTGTGTCTCTGAGCCGCAGCGACACGGACTGATTCAGAGCGCGTCATTCTGCCGTTGGTTCTGGACTGGTGCTTGTGTTGGTGGATAAAGCAGACTGCTCCGTGTTTGGAGTCGCTGTGCCGCTGTCACGTCTGTTCCCTGATCTCTGCGTCACCGACCGATTTGATATTCGTGTGACAGAAAAAACGTTATTGTCAAGCCACGGCCGGAAGATCAGGAAGCAACGTTACTATGCTATAATCAATTATGTTCAGTCCCTGCATCGATGCAGAATCGTCCACGTCCACATCACGATGCATCGTAGAAATGATTAATTTCAACACCCCTAGTTTACATGCTTTAATGTTCACAAAGGTCTTTATTTCTGTTATACTGCCTGTTTCGCAACACCTTTTTTCACCCTCTGTCTGAAACCAGATTCCAGTCTGCTCTGATTGGTCAGCTGGCTGGTTCTGTTGTGATTGGTCAACCACTTAGACTAAGGAGCCGGACTTCTCTATCACGTTCAATGTGTTTGAGCATTAGCCATTAGAAAAACATGTGTTACAAAGTGATGTACCTTTTGTTACAGAAGTAAACAAAGGAGTCCAATGGAGGGGTTTCAGTCAGGAGGGGAGTGTGTGGGAGAGAAACTCCCTCTGGACGGAACTTTTAGTTTTTAGCCTTTGCAGACCATTTACTTGCACACAAACCTATAATACACTACAGATAAGGGAACAGAACCCCCCAAAAAGCATGAAAGGGTCTCTTGAAAGAAATGCAAAGAGGTCATGTATCAGTCACACACTGAGAGATTAAAATGTGCCAGTTGACCCCGTTAGCCACACACGTGGTTGTTGATTAAACCGCTGGCCTTGTAGTTATGCAGGTGGGTTATATATCCCTTCCTAACAGCTTGTGTAGGGAAACCCCCACATATTCATAGTGATGATAGCAATTGCAACAGGAAATCTGGCCAATACTTTACTGGAAGTGCCTCGTGTTTTGTAAACCAGGAAAAAACCTTACATACCAGATACTGGATTGAACCCCGTCACCTCAAGGGCCGGCAGGTGGAAAGAGCGTGATTCCCTTCGAGGCGGAAGACCAAATGAAAAGGCCTGAGGTGGCTCTATTCAGAGTCACGTTAATGCACCTTTTGTTGACACAGGGGGCCGTTCCTCCTGCCAGCACACGGCTACATGTGGGGCTCAAAATCCCATTTCTATACACACACCTCAAATCAGGTTCCCCTACTTACACATACAATAGAAAAACACTTTGCATTCTACGTCTGTGGCTTCCTCCTAAAATGCTCATTTCAGGCAATCAACATCAGTTTGTCGCATGCTAATTACCTCTGTCTGCAGTGCACATTATGTTTCAAAGGTCAATTACCAACAAAATAAGGGGAAAATGGGCCCTCGATTCCTAAAGCTCTACCCACCAATTTTCCACATGCGGTGCACCATGTTGGATTGCCTCTGCGTTTTTATTCTTTTCCTCTTTTGTTCACCTGCACTCTCTGTTTACCAAAGCTTCAGGTGATTAATGTCCCAGATAGAGCTGGCGCAGTGTGTGTGCAAGAGACCGAAACTGTGTGCATGTGTGTGTTTGCTAAGGTGCCCTACGGTTCAGCTAGAAACGCTGATGTTTGAACTGTCCGATTTACACAAGTTTATGGCCAAGACGGCAGGTGTTTCCAGCCTGGACCTTGCCTTTGTACACACATACGCACGTCTCAGATAAGAGAGGGAACAATCTCTCTGCCTCTCTGATAAGGTGCATTCTGATACCAATATGTTTTAGAGTGTCATTGCAGAGTAAAGAGAACCATTCCCGTTCTATATATATATATCTATATATATGTAATGGAAAACCTGTTAAGAGCTCTCCGCGCTCCAGCATGGTATTTCACTGTACATACTTCAGCACTTTGTGCAGCGCAGCATGTGTAAGTGTTGTAAGAGCACCCATCTGCCACATAGCCGCCTGTACCTCGGCGAAACAATACTTTGTTTCCTGCTTTAATTACAGGTTTGCCTGTGTGTATATACATAGGACTGACCAAAGTTGAGGTCTTTTGTTCTTTCTCTTATCCTCTGTGAACGATCCATCTGCTGCCCTCGCTTTCTGTTTTTTTCTGTCCTTTACAGACATGTGCTGTTGAGTACCTTACTCTCCCCAACACATTTAAAATGCTTATCCTAGCTGTCGGAGGAAAAAGCTTTCTCCCTCTCACATGGTGGCCCATTTGCCAAATATTTCTGCTTCCCTCCCCCACCGAAACAAGACCATGTGCTCATACCAAATTCACAAAATCCTGTTGACTGTAAGAAATTGCAGATGGGTGATTCTGTTTATTCCTGTAGCATGTTGAGTCATTGGTGGATGGGTATTATCATAATAATGCATACGGGGAAAATATAGTTTGCCTCCTATTAATAGTATTTGTGTATGCATGTCATCAGGATGTTTTGAACACCATCATCCGTGCCTGCTCTCCACGTTTCTTCTTCCTCGGCCTGCCCGGCTTCACCATGCTCGTTGGAGATTTCATCACTGCCGCTGCCCGCGTCCTCAGATCTGACTCCTCAGAGGTACGCACACACTCTCCACATCTACATTTGTCATGAGATTCAAACTCAACCTTAAAAATGTTGTTAAATATTATATCTACTTATACGTTTTCAGGAATGTCCCAACTAAAAAAAGAAAACCAGAGTTCCTCCTCATACATGGTGGTCTTTAATAAATGTGTCAATGATTCACTCACTCTCTTGTATCTAATGGGTCTTTCATTATTATTATTATTTTTAATCCAGTAGTTATAAATTGGATAAAAACGTATTTTTCTCTTCTTTTTCCTTCTTCTTCTTTGTAAGACTTTGCAACTTTGACTGAAATGAATACCAAACATATTTTTATTTTTATTGAAATATATTATTCATCCTGAGTTTTCCTCAATCTTTTGAAAGTAAATAGCCTAATGGCTAGGGATGGGTACCGAGCCCCGGTATTAAACGGGCCCCGGGGCTGAATTATTAAAGACCGTGGTACCGTTAAGCTCCGACGTTATCGGTCTTTTTATCGGTACTGGAGACATCTAAAAAATATGTCATGTATATTATTGCTACACAAACATTATATTGCAGTTTTAGTGTCGCCAACTCCGTTTCTAATATGCAAAAAGACTGCAAAATGCGTAATTTTTTGTATTTTCGATCTCTCCAATCCAGACGAGAGATCTCTCTCCCCCGCCTGTGTGCGAGGGGGCGGGGCAGTTTACACACACGCAGCTGCTACATGCAGCAACACACACACACGGAGGAGATGGCGGAGAGAACGCGCTCCGAGGTGTGGTTAAACTTTACCCGTCTCGCTCGTTGCCTAAAGTGCAATAAGAGTTTAGCATGTCAGGGCGGTAACACGAGCAATTTGTCTAAACATCTTGCAAAAGTGCACCACGTTCAGACGGAGAAATGCACCGGGTTCGACTGTCTCTCTAGTAGCTCTGTAGCCCCATCCACGAGTAACGTTTCCACGTCAGGTATATTATGTATGCTAGCAGCAACACACGGAGCTAACTCAATGATTCAAACATGGGTTAATGATTAGAGGTAACTGAGTTATTTAGTTTGTTAAAGTTTCAGCCATTCTGTTCACAGTTCTGTCATCAGATTATTTAATATGATTTGTTAAAACGTTGTTGTTGATGTGAAATATTATGTATTTCATTTAAATAAAAAGCAATGTTAGTTTTGTTCACAATTTGTTAATTTTCATTTAATTGTTTATTTGAATAGGGACAATGCACATTAATGAACACTTTAGACAAATAATGCTTCAAGTGTAAATATGCCGGATTTTAGCTTTGAGCTAATTTCCATCCGTAGTCCCTGACATACAACATATAGTTAGTTTACCTCATTTTTCTCTCCAAAAGAACCGATAAGAGTACCGTTAAAAGACCGGACCGATAAGCGGTATCGATAAAAGTAGTAGTACTGTTAAAACCTTAACGATACCCATCCCTACTAATGGCACAATAAGAAAATGACATTGTACCATACATATTAAACAAAAGGAAATGCCTTTTTAGCCTATACTGCTGCCACTGCATTTCTTTGTTTTATTATTTTTATATTGTATTGATTATATATTTACAATCCAAATGAATATCAGACAGAACAGGAATATAAACAATCACGACCAAAAAACGGAAGAAAATAAAACGGGTACGGTCGATAGCCTTCCAGAACTTCTTATGAAGGTCCAAATGTTCCAAACAACCCCCAAAAAATGGACCACCTCATTTTGTCGGGGAGACAAATAAGATAAAATGTCCAGAATGTTGACTATCTCTTACATTACATGTCATTTGTTAGACGCTTTTATCCAAAGCGACTTACATACATTCAGTACTGTGGACAATCCCCACAGGAGCAATTTGAGGTGAAGTGTCTTGCCCACGGACACAACGACATGCTGACTGCAGTGGGACTCGAACTTGCTACCCCCTAATTCCAAGTCCAGCACACTATCCACTGAGCCACAGCCTCCCTATTGAGCCACAGCCTCCCTATCGTACTTCTCCCAATGATTTCCAGACAGTTATATGTTGCTTCCTTCTGTTTTGGTTGCCAGATAATTACAAATACAAGCTGAATCTGCTTACGAGCGGCATCCATCGCGCATTTAATCAGTCATGTTGTTGTCCAACGCTACCATGTGTCAAGAGACTCTGTTGAGCCTCAGCAGAATCGTGAATAAAGACGGAATTAATTCTGCAGGATCCCTCCAATCCTTTTCCCCCGGATAGCCACCTTCCTGCTTCCTGGAACTGGGTTGTTTTCTTGTAGCTTTAGGGAATGAATGATAGCCTGTTTTTGTTTATTTCCCCCCCCCCCATCCCTTCCAGGCTCCGAGGATGGAGGCTCAGACAATCCTGGGCTCCCTGGTGTGTTTCCCCAACCTCTACCTCCAGATTCCTGTGCTGCAGCGTGTGCCCGGCTCTGATGACATCATCGTAGGAAATGAGGATATCAAGGTGAATGTTCAACATGTGGTAATGATATTTAGAGACATGTCACATAACAGCTAACTGTAAATGATTAGTCCCATGCAAGTCTCCTAAAATGTGAACGTTAAGCATGATACTGTTTGATTCTTATATCCGATCTTCACAGTTAATAACCCCAATAATGTAGATGGATAGAATAACGTGTATTTTGAGAATATATACATTTAGCATGTTTTCTTTACTGTTCAGGATTACCTGGTGAACATCCTCCTGGAGATGGCCACAAGGGAACACTGTGAAGGAGCCAGGTATGATCGGCAATATATCAATGCTTATTTTATATTAGATTACATTGGCTATTTATTTTTGTTAGTTTGAGGGCGATGTGTTTTTACACACATATAGATATTTACTATTATAATGTGCATTGAATCAGAGCATTTACTTACATTATGTATGTACTATGTATATACAAGTATGTATATGCTCCTGTACTGTAAGCATATATTCCTGCTACTAACTGCAGTATTTATGACTTTTTTAGAACAATTTATTAATCCATAATTTGTATACTGTTAATATTGTTTATATTTGATATAATAGTTTTCATTTCACTTTCACTTTTAATGTGTAGTTGTTGATTCTCTATTCCACTTTTTAAGTATCTTTATTTTATGTCTGAACACAATGATTCTTCTTCTGAAACAAAATAATTTCCCAAATTGGGATCAATAAAGTATCTATCCATCTATCTATCCATCTATCCATCTATCCATCCATCTATCTATCTATCTATCTATCTATCTATCTATCTATCTATCTATCTATCTATCTATCTATCTATCTATCTATCTATCTATCTATCTATCTATCTATCTATCTATCTATCTATCTTATAAACAGTACGGAAAAGGGGTTTTCAAGCCTATTTAACAAAGAAATAATTTGTGTCCTTAAAGTTATAACTCTGAAGATTTTCCTTACGAAGTGTCTATTAAATCAAGTAACACAATGGGAGTTGAGGCTATGCCGAGTTGAGGCTATTGCCTCACAAACAAAGTGAGATCCAAATAACACCTGCTGTTGCCGCTTATCACCTCGGAGAACAAATTGGAGATTTTAGAGGTTGAATAGTTTTTTTTTACTCTGCTTCTCTCTTGATCTTCTGTCATTCAGGTGCATTGCTGTGTGCACTCTGGGTCTGTGGGTTTGTGAGGAGCTGACGCAGAAGAACATCCACCACCAGGTTAAAGATGCCATCAATGTGCTGGGCGTAACACTAAAGGTCAGTTCACATCACACCATGTATTCATTTGCAGTTTGATACCCTGTAACTTATGTGTTCAGTTTGATTTTCTAACAAACAAGCGCACTGTTGACCATTTTAATTTTGGCAACAATTCTGAATAGGATAAATCACTGACGGCTGCAGTGTCTTAAACAAATTGATGCACGAAGCCCTGATTTCATCTCAGAAATGTTTCGTTTTACCACATGAGCACTGTAGTGTTTAGCTCTATCAGAAATGATAGTTGATTACATAAAAGGACTGCAGAACAATTTCAACATAGTGAGTGGACAGAAAGTGTGAGAATAAAACATGTTCAGTGATGTGACTCATGGCCATATTTTTGGAAGAGCCCTCTTTCCTCCCTGAGTGAAGAGATGCAGAAAATCACTGGTGGCTGTTTTTTGTCGCTTTTTTTTTTTCTTCATGGAATAGTGTTTTGGGCGGTGGTGTAATTTCCAGGCTGCTCGCTCTCAGTAGATGTGGGCCAATTTAAGCAGCTACATCTCCCAGCTTCCTGCTCGAGCATCCCCCCCCCCCCCCCCCCCCCCCCCCCCCTTCCCTAATGGAGCAGTAATCACTCCCCTGTACAACTTGACACACAGACTCCGCCAGCCCCAAAATAGAGGGTATAGGCTGGGTGGGGGATCTATGGGGAAGAGTGGCACTGAGAGTCTCTTTTCGAAAAGCAGGTGCTGAACTCTCAGGGCCCCTTTTTGTGTTTGGCCATTTCTGCACTCCCCACATTGTCTGTCCTTGTTACATGTTGAAAGGCATTCAGCTGGAAGAAATGGGAAATTCTATTTCTCCACAAAGAATTTCAAATCACTAAAGAAATTCACATTTGAAAGAAAATGGTCAACAACTCAATTCTTTCCTGCAATCAGTCAGGAGAAAATAAGTCATTGTTTGGAGGGGAAATTCAATTATGCTAAATATATGCATGTAAGTGAAAAACTAAATATAAGGGCTATTACTCAGATTGTTGTCATGCTCAGCTTGTGCCTAGAACTTGTTCCCTTTTTCAACCAGCCATGTATGTCCCTTTCCCTGTTTCCAACCTTTGGTCTGGGAGAGAAGGGAGGGAGGGAACTTTGGGATTTTAGCCTTTGCAGACCATTTACATGCACTAAAACCTTTATAACACACTACAGGAGACACACACATAGCATAATAGAGCCTCATTAATGTTGTGCTTATGTGTAAATATAAAGTTCTCAAATATGTCAATACATGTTTTTTTTCCTGTATGTTTAGACGGCATCAAGACGTCATAACAAATATTTACTAACTTTGATTTATTAAGTTACAGTATGGAATCAGGCATAGTTTAATGTAAATATAAGAAATATTGTTCCATCTGTATCCTAGTTCTAAAAATGAATCCTAGGTCACATTTAAGCATTTTGAGCATTTTAAAGTTTATTTTTCTATTTAGATGATTTGAATCTGATCTCACAGATTATGAACATTGTAAAAGGCTCCAGTGTTCCTATTTAGTATGTGTTTATTTGGACAGTTTAAACAGACACTTGATGCTGACTTATATGCTTGATTTAATGCTTTTTCAAATAGCTTAGATTGAGAAATTAGGGACCAGCTAGCACCAATTAAGAACACAATGCCTTAGAAGAAAATCTGATATATTTTGAATGTATATAGTGCCAGAGCAAAAATGTCAAGGCAGATGCAATAACAAGCGTTCCCCTGGCCCGAGAATGTACATGTATAGCATTAAAATATTTGTTAAATGTCTAAAATGTTCCGTATGTTAATGCAGCTTATTATAAAATAAGCTATGCATCGTTGAACTGTTTGTGTCCCGTCCTTTACTTGTTTGTTCGTGCAGTTTGGAAACAAAGCAGTGGCTCAAGTGGCCTGTGACGTGTTCCAGCTGCTCATCTCTCACTGGGAACATCTCCAGAGGCTGGAGCCCACTCTACCTAAGAAAATCATTGAGGTAACACACGCACGCACACACATACACACGCACGCACACACACAGACACACACACACACACAGTGTTTTGTCAGTAGCCATTAGAGGTCTCCGAGAACATATATTCATAAGTAAGAAATTCCTATCAAGTCACTTAGAATTCAAAAGTCTTACTAACAAATATGCATACTCCACATCCCTTGGCTTCACATCCATTTGAGCACACAGCCCTGACTCAGCTGATGAATAGGAGTGTGTCATCCAATTATCTTCCGCCTTGTTTTGTCCCAACACAGATCTTTGTGGCCACAATAGCCTTTTTGTTGCCGAGCGCGGAGCACTCAACAGTGGAGGCAGACAAAAAGGTACATGTTTGAAAGGAGGGGACACGGCTGAGATCTAAAGGCCCTTGATCAATCATGTTGGAATGAAGCATTTGCAGAGGAATGTTTGTTTATATCTGTCTAGCTCTGTATTTTTTTTTTGCTGCTCTCCTCTATTTGCTTAAAGGGGACCTATCATGCAAAATGCACTTTTTGATGTCTTTTATACATAAATATGTGTCCCCGGTGTGTCGGGGAACTCACGCAGCGTCAGAAAAATAAAACCCTCTCTCTTTTTACCCAAATCTCTAAAAACGGGGCTACAACGGAGCTGATCCAGATTTGCGTCCGATATGACGTAATATCGGAAATGTTTCTCAGGAACTGCACAGCTCCTTTTTTGCTATATACACTTGTTTTTGTTTTATTTGATGACCAACATGTGTTTCTCACTTCCTCAGTTGATGGTGTCCCTGCTGCTCTGCCTGTTGGACTGGTGCATGGCTGTTCCCTTGAGCCTGCTGCTGGAACCCATCACCATGCCTTCTCCGGAGGACCGCACATCCCATAAGGCCCCGCTGCTGGACTACATCTACAGGGTGGGTAGCCTCCCTGGCAGCTGGGGGGGGCAACATTTCTTTTGAAGAACGGCCACTTTAGCTTCTTGCTGATTTCCGATAACTTCTGAATAATACATAGTCTTCATCCGCAAACACAATAACTCCAGCTTTGACCCCCCCCCCCCCTCTATTACCCACAAAATGGGCTTGCCACTTTAATTAGACTCACCTCCACCGTGACCTCATGACTATGCCTCATTTAACATCATAGTGGCACAGCATAAGAGAAACCGCCATAGCCGACGTACACTGTCCATTTATCATATGCAGGAAACCCTTACAACTTGCTTTGTAGTAGCATACTGCATTTACAAATATAAATTGTATTATGAATTTAAAAATATGCAGTACCCACTCTAGTTGCTCTAGTGTATCTGTCCCACTAGCCTTGTATTTTATAGTCTGACCCTGAGGAAGAGGGCCAAGCTTCAGGCACAAATGAAGGAGGTATTATTCATTCCCTCCTGTCTGGGCAGATGCGGTCAACGGCAGATCTTTGTAAGGATGTCACCCCTGATAAGAAATGGTCCAATTATTCAAACAGGACCCATTGTCCAGTTGATAAGCTCGGGCTATAAACGCTTGTCCTGGAGATTTGAATGGAATATGTCTTAATATGAGAGCGACTGCAGCTGCTATGAAAGCAAAGACAATTAGGCGTGATTGGTTGTCTATCAGCTAAACAAAAGACAATGGCCCCTCTGGGTTTCATTGGAAATAATATATTAGGCAAGGGCATCGCAAGGTATGACAATATTAATGCAATGTCAGGACTGAAATCTATACTTCTCCGCAGATACCTCGGCTGCTGATTATTCTCTACAGCGAGCGGAGAATAGCTTCCCTAATTGGAAACATCTCCCTTTTATTGCATCACTGGCTAGTGTCACTGAGAAGGTAGCAGGGAGGGTTTTTCATGCTTCACCTTCCTTTAATTACAATTTCAGATAAAAAAAAAAAAAAAAAACCTTGTTAAATACCAAACACATCAAGCACAAGAATGGTACCCACCTAATGAAAAGGTTGTCAGGCTATTGGTTCTGAGAAAAAGTTTTTAACAACATGCAGATCGATGTATAAAGCAACATTGCATTAGAGCTCATTGGAGATCTGCTCTAGCTTCTCCATCTGCTCTTTTCGCTTCCCCGGCAGCCAGCTGCACTACGCGTCTCTGTGTGTGAGTGTGTGTGTATTTATGTGAGGGGAAGAAAGCAAGAACAGGTCCATTTGTCCACGTGCACACCTGTATGTCTCTGTTTGCGTTTTTATGATTGGATGTATGTGTGTACACAGGCGTAATACTCATGCATCCATATGTGCCTCCTCCAACTACAGTAAGCACTGCGCGTTACTTTCCAGGAACTGTTGCTATGCGAAAGTGCAGTCACTTAGTTGTCAAGCACAGCTGTGGGTCCCCCCCCCCCTCACCAACCTCCTCCCTTTCTGTCTCTCCACCTCTCCACTGAGGAAGCTCTTTGGGGCTTTGGTGTAGCAGCTGTTTGGTTCAGGTCTTTTCAGCCTCAAGCCTCACAATCCCTCCCCCCCATGCACCCAGAGGTCTGTTCGGCAGAATCATCCACATACTGTCTACATTGCCCCACACAATACTGTTTCAGATGGCAGGGCCAGGCTGCCTCTCACAGCGTCTCTCAGCCAAGATGGAGCGTATGTGTGTACTGAATGGGATTAGCCCTCGCATGGCTTTACCCAAGTTGCTCTACTCTGAATGAGAGGCCCCCCTCATTTACATACATTAGGCATATGTTTCACCCTCTCATACGCGGCGCCTCACCTCCACTCGGATTATACAGTATACAGGTGTGTTTGTGTGTTTGTGTGTTTGTGTGTGTGTGCATATTTGTGGTGGGAGCTGAGCACAGGGATAAAGTCTTAATTAAATCAAACAGTGTAAACCTGTCCAATGGCTGTAATCAACTGCCCCAGTGCGCCTTATCTAGCCCTGCCAACGGATGCTCTGCCATCTGTTATGTAGATCGATACACTCACACATCACAGGAGAAATGGATTAGTGGCAATAAAGTCCCCTCTCTTTTCTCTCCCCCCCCCCCGTCCCTACCTCACTCCCTCCTTCCGTTGCCTTATGATGTAAATGCAACTTATATTCCCCTTTCATGCTCCTGGATCATGTCACTCTGGAGCAGGCCTGCAGGAGTGTCACTGTGCATCGTCTCACAACACACGCACACACTATATATCGAAGTTCAAGTTCAGTCATTGCCTATCACTGTCAACACAAGGCAATTCAAAGTGCTTTACAAAAATAAAAAGATATTAAGAGCAATAGGAAATGTGCAGCGGATACACATTTTAAAATGGCATTTCAAAACAGCCAATTAAAAGCAAAGAGAAAATAAGAAAATCATAAAAGAAGGTAATATAGAATAACACAGGCATAAAATACATGCATAAAAGTAACAGTGCAGTGTAAGATAGGAATAGTTCAATAAAAAGCAGGAAAAAAAAAATGTTTATGCCAGAACCTGAATAAAAAAAAGAGTTGCAGCGGACTTGCAGGTTTGTGGGAGTTTGTTCCAGATATTTGGAACTCCATGTTTAGTTCTGATTCTGGGGACAGAACGCCGAACCGTCCCAGAAGACCTGAGAGTTCTGATGGGTTTATAATGTAGCACGAGATTAGAAATGATGGCACATTCCATCTGAATCCTCACCCCTTTTCCTGCTCTTCCTCAGGTGCTGCACTGCTGTGTGTCGGGCTCCACCCTGCACACCCAACAGAGCCACTACCTGCTCAGTCTGTCGGACCTGTCGCCCGACTATGACCTCATGTTGGGTCAGGTTAAGAGCTTCGAGCCCCCACCCTCCCAGACAACCTCTTCCGACTTCGGCAACCTGCTCACAGTCGCTGAGGGTAAGGAAATGGAGCCTTCCTGATTCCCCCTTTTTACCCCCCGCTGTGCACGAGATTGCACTGGGCTGGCAGATAAAACGGCAATGGCCATTTATTGGTTGTATAGGACGTGTGCATTTGTGTGTGTGTGTGTCTGATATCTGTCACATCACTGCTTAGAGGACTATCTCTGGTCAATTTTGGGACACACTTCTTCATTTCCGTTCCTGTGCTTCTGACCACAGACCACAGAAAAAATATCCCCAAAAAAAGGATTAGAGGGAAAAGCAAGGTCTGAAAAGCCCATCCATTTGGAGCCTCTCCATTAAATGTCAATATCTTATTAAAAGTATGAAAAGGAAATCAACCATCACAGGGAATGGAATGTTCGCATTAGTACTCAGCCCTAGAGAGAAGACCCATTATGGGGTTTTTTTCTTCTTTTGTTGTGACCTTGTGATTCCATTAGGCAATGTATTCCTCTCTGCCCCATGTCCTCAACTTCTGAAAAGTCCTTTGAGCCCAAATACAAAATGCAGTGTACTGAAACAATGTAAGAAATTTGAACAGGAGCTTTTGCCTGAAACATTTCACCACACCTCTCTGTTTCTGGTGCCCATGTTCTTAGTAGAAATAACAAAACACTTTCAAAGGGGCAAACCAAAGAGAGCCGGCCTGGTTATATTCATGTCCCCCACCTCATATTGATCAAGTCACATCAAAGGGCTAGTGCATCTCTAATGCAGCTTGGCCTGCTTTCTAAAGAGCTTTCTCCGCTTTGATGGGGGATGATGGTATTGATAGCACTGTCACAATGTAAGAGTGCATCTCCTTGTTTTTTCCCACATCACTGCAGAATAAAGCACCGCATGCCTTTCGCTTGGGACTAAAAACCTGTGCATTTACATAAATGCAATTCACTAAGTAGAGTCCTATTGAGCAGCCTGCAAAGATGGTGGTTCTCATTAGCACTCAGCCAGTCTCAACGCTTGTCCATTCTAAGAAGACTCAATGGGCTTTTCAAAGTTGTCTCTTTTGATTAGATACCTACTTAGAGGTGTGCCGGCCAAGCTATTGTGAGAAATGAATAAAGTACACCTATTAGTAATCATAAATGAGATTTGGCTTTGTATAAAAACGAGCTAACTGAGATGATAGCTTGTCTACACACAAACATGGGGCTTTTGGGATACGGTTAGCAAAGTGTGCGTTTGATTATTTAATAGGCCTTAACGCTGATGCCGTTTTTTTCAGGCGATTCAATTAGTGCGCCAATTGTTTCTCAGTGTGTCGTTTATGTCATTAGTACTTTAAACGGTCCCTTTCCTGTAGTGTGTTATATATGTTGTGCATGTAAATCGTCTGCTAAAGCTAGGTCACAAAGTGTTTCTCCGACACACACCAAACCCTTCCCCCCGCCTGAAACGCCTCCATTGGACTCCATTGTTAACATCCGTAACATAGTGACATCACTATGTAACACATGCGCTTCTATTGGGTAAAGCTCCAACACATTGTACGTGATAGGCTACGGGGCGGGACATCTATAAGCAGTTTACCATCACAATAGAGCCGGCCAGCTAACCAATCAGAGCAGACTGGGCTCTGGTTTCAGACAGAGGGTGAAAAGAGGTGCTGCAGTCGGAGAAAAAAAAACATTTTTGCTTTTACATTCCGAATAAAGGCATTAACCAATGACATTGTCCAAATGATGACAGCTAATTGTATTACCCTTGTCAACTTTGACAAAGGTAGCATATAGCAGATCCTTTCCTGTTGTTCTTACCTTTCACAATAAGAAAGCTGTGATTGATGTACTGCATAACTAGGCTATTCAACTATTCTGGGCAAATATGATCCCGGTAGTTGGTTTACCTCTACCTGCGTCGATCTATTCAAACTTTTTATTAAACCAGTAATGCTTCTGTCACAAATTAGCATCATTGTTGGTATACATAGTTTTGATGTGAAATATTCATAGTGAGCTAAAGCCGTTTACCATGTTTTACAATTTCTTACGTGTGTTTTCCTTCAGAGACTGTCTAAGTATTTGTATCTTCCTGCCATCATTTCCCCCCCAGAAAAGCGCCGTCGGAACATGGAGCTGATTCCCCTGACAGCACGGATGGTCATGACCCACCTGGTGAACCATCTGGGTCACCACCCGCTGAGCGGCGGCCCGGCCCTTCTCCACAGCCTCGTGAGCGAGAACCACGACAACCCGTATGTGGAGTCGTCTGAGCTGTCCTCCGAGGTTTTCAAAAGCCCAAACCTCCAGCTGTTTGTGTTCAACGACAGCACGCTGGTGTCCTACCTGCAGATCCCCGCAGAGACCCCCGCCGTCGGACAGCCCCCCAAATCTTCCTCCCAAGTACGTGTGATCGTCCGCGACATCTCGGGGAAGTACTCGTGGGATGGCGCAATCCTCTACTGCACTAACCATGACGACTGTGATGACGCAGGCGTTTTTGAAGCAGTTGATCGCCCTCTTTCCACCACCTCTCATGACCCTCACAGCAGAAACCAGCCTGACTCTCCAACAAATGGACCGTACAAAAACCATTGCTCAGTCTCCGACTCGCTGTCAGACTGCTACGAGGAGGAAGGGTTGGATATATTGGACACGCTTTTGGAGGACCTGGGCCACAGCAGCCCAGAATGCCTCCCCGTACCACAGCTCAGGCTAAACCAGCCAGCCCCCTCCCCTCATGGCATGAACTTAGAGCAAGAGAGCGCCATCATGGAGGCAATCTTGCGTCAGATGCAGCAGGAGGAGGAGCAGGTGAGGAGGTGGGATGCTGACTTGAGCTTTAAGGCTGCCTGCCAGAGTGAACCGTCCCACCAGGAACCAAAAGCTCCTTTCTACTTCTGCCGGCTGCTGCTCAATGACCTTGGCATGAACTCTTTGGACCGCAGGTACGCTACAAACCGAAACTAGCTACCTGGTTTGCACTGTAGAAGATGAAAGACGCAAACAAGAAGCAGGGTTCTTAGAAGTTATTCTATAGCCTGTTGATTATTTGTTTTTTCTTTAGCATTCTCTCTGCTCTCATCTTAAATTCAAGCAGTACGAGCCAGAGTTACTTCCTTCCTCCTTAACTAGTTGGACTACTTCCCTTAAGTAACTCAGCTGCTGGCTCGTTACTCAAAGAGAGAAAGAGCACAGTTAAAAGCACTGCGGAGTCTAGAGAGACTTAATCTCCTCTCCACAGGGTAAAGGTGCCCAGCTGTTTTCACTAAGGTCCACCTCGCAGAGCCACATCTTTGACGTGCTTTCCCGTAAATTAAAAGCTTACACCTCTTAATGGTGACCGTGCAACGTGCCCACAGCAAGAAGGAGATTGCTGTTCACACCTGTGCCTTTTTTTTGCCTCTGTTAATCTTGTCTGCAAAACAAAACTCCACTATTTTCTCAATTTTCTAGTAGATTAAACCCTTTTTCCAACAGAGGTTAATTGTTGCTACCATGGTTTTTATATCCAGAATTGAAAATGTAATCAAGACTTTTTTTGTCAAACAGGAAAAGTTTCCATTTGCTGAAGAAAAACTCCAAACTTTTAAGGGAATTGAAGAACTTGGATTCCAGGCAATGGTAATACTTTTATACATTTAATCTGACATAATATATATTCTGTTTGTATTCATATACTTCTGCTAATCCTGAAACAGTCTTATGGTAAACCTGTTAGAAATTAACTCAAATGATACATCATACAGTTGCTCCAAGCTGAATATATTTCCCCTTCCCTTCACTCCCTCCCTTCCTCCCCAAAGATCTTTCTAATTTGTACCATCTCCTGTTGATCACAGCCCTGGAAGTCTCCCACAATAACTCTGTCTTTCTTAGACTGATCATTAAGTACACCACACTTTGCTAATGACAGGAGCTTATTAAAGATTTCCCTCAGGACTGGACTTTATTCTCCCAGATGGCCAGCCTTGGTTGGGCAATAACAACCTGTGCGCAAGCATGCAAAGTGCCCTAAATCTACCCCAGCATGATGTACTGCCATGGCAACAGGGAAAGTAGGGAAAGGGGGCCTTTGCTGCCATCCTTTTTAAAAATCAGGTTAGAGCTGCAGAGATAGTGAAAAAAAATGCTCATTCTGCTCTCCTGATTTTATACAACTCAATTAGACTTACACACAATTTACCTCCATAAGCAAGTGTTTTGACTTACAAAGCATCAATCATCTGAGGTGGCCACTGGAGTGAGAAGCTTTTCAAGTTCTGTTTAAAAATGTCTGCTGTGTTGTGGTTGTTTTTTTAAAATCCATGTTTTGTTTTGAAGTCGAGAAACACACAAGATCGCTGTGTTCTACATTGGAGAGGGCCAAGAGGACAAGTGCTCCATCCTGTCTAACAGCGCGGGCAGCCAGGCCTACGAAGACTTTGTGTCAGGACTGGGATGGGAGGTGCCAAAAACCACACCCTCAAATCAACACATCTTATGTATCCACACATACTGCCTAAATATGCACACACTCACACTCAATTGTACATGTGTCCCTCAGGTGGACCTGGCCACACACTGCGGCTTTATGGGAGGCCTCCAGAGGAATGGCAGTACGGGTCTAACGGCTCCTTATTATGCTACCTCCACCGTGGAAACCATCTTCCACGTCTCCACTCGCATGCCATCTGACTCTGACTGCCTTACCAAAAAGGTAAAATAGAAATCTTGTTTGTGTTAATTATCTTTTTTTATCCTGTGTAATGATAAATGTTGACAGTTCCTTCCTGTCTGTGACATTTGGATTAATGTATTATATCATTGTTTGATGTTTGATCATTGTCATTTTTGCACTCCTCAAGCCAAGAGTATGTAGAGAAAAAGGAGAAAATGATGCGGTGAAATGGCTACACAGGCCGGCCTGCCCATAGCAGTATGTTGTTGTAGCCTTCAGCTCTGTGTTAAGCTGTGATCAGGAGGTGTGACTCCAGAGTGCGGGCATTGATTAGTGACCCTGGCCAGGCAGGCCTGAGGAGTAGAGAGTCGCAGGCGCGTGAGTGAAGAGAGGGCATGTGCCGCTGCGGGTAATGACTATGATTCTGCTAGCCCCTGCCCCCCTCCCTGTGTGCTGTGACCAGGGCCTGGATTCAGCCATTAGCTCTCTCTGCGAGGGCAGGCGCCGGCCGGATGCCGGCAGGATCCTTTTATCCAATTCCTGCTGCCGCCACAGGAGCGATCGATTGGGTTCTGCAGTGGGATTCTGAGCTGTAGTGCACCAGTAGCAGTTAGCACGAAGAAATGAGCCGCAAGGCCCCTGCCCGTGCTGCCAATCTTCTCATACAGTACCCTGCTGAGAAGGGAAATTCATCAGGCTCTCCTCATGTCCAACCCCCTTATAGTCCTTCACAGACCTTCCCCCTCTCTGTTTCACCAATGACCCCCTACTCATTACGAAACCATCCTGAATCTGTGCTTGGTGACCGCAAAAAATGTGTGAGCAAAGATTTTGACTTTGGCCAGAGTGAGGCGCTGCAGGGGCGGCCGGGCCCAGAGTGGAGTGTGCTACCACTCTTCTTCCATTCATTTTACAGGCAACTTCTGTAATTGCTCACGCTCACCTTGCAAAGATCTCAACACCAGCTACAGGCTGCACAGAAATTGGCATGCTGGCTGCTTGCATGGATGTGTCAGGGAAAGAGATGGCAGGGAGAAGAGGAAGTGGTACGAAGAATTGGATTGAGAAAAGCGCTTAGTCTGTGTCCAAGTAGGATGTTTCCCTGTCAATTTAAAAATAACACTTTTAGTCCAGCAGTCACTCGCTTTACTGCCTGCAACCATAGAGGCATACTGTGGGGGAGTGACGGATGGGGGAGCTCTCGCTGGGCAGATTGTCTGTTTGAAGAAAATTGAGGGGAGAAGAAAAAAAACCCAGCCAAACCAAAAAGAAAAGAGGGAAGACCATGAATTCCTCAATCCAATTGTGGGTTTTGGGGCAGTGCAGGCTGCAGCAGTGGCAGCTGGCTTCAGTAATGCGGTTAGAGAAGCGACCTGCAGGGTTGGGGTCAGGCCATGTAGACCGCGTGTGTGTGTGTGTAAATGTGTGTGTGTGTATATGTGTGTGTGTGTGTGAGATAGAGGGAAATAGACAAGTGCCTTAGCTATCACATTCACCCCCAGGCGCCGCAGCTTAACTGGGCTGCTGCAGGTTGTTTTTATAAGGAGCCTCTTGTGTTCTGGGGTCCTCTGGTCTGCTGTCTCCATGTGTGTCAAGCCCATTGGCTGAGTGGAAGGTCAAAAAGGGCTAATTGGACAAGAGCCTTTGACTTGAATCACATTTTTATAAAAGAAGCCTCAAACATTTGGATGTGATTAACAAGGGAGTAAATTGGTTGGTGCAGCAGATGATTGACTAGAGCATAAGCATCCTCATTAAACTTGTGATTAAGCTCATCCAAATGCTAATATCTTAACCCAAATTAACATCCCAGTGTTAATTGTCTGCGGCAAATGCATATTCAACATTTTCTCTGAAATTGTCCCAGTGACTGACCTGGTTGGTACCTGCTGATCCTTGGACAGACAGACTGAACTGGCGAGCTCCAGTAATCAGCATGCCGTGGATTTGTTTAAGATTACCGTATTACCATAATTAATGGCTTATAATAGAATGTGCTAATTGCATTTTTGGTGGCGAGGGCATGTTTCTTAATGGCTCATTAGGCCCACAGTACATTGGCAGATGTTTTCTTCTGAGCAGAGGCTCACTTTTCAGTGTCCATGATCCCCCCCCCCAGAAAACCACTGGGCTACCAGCTAATAAGTGATCCACACTTGTCAGAGAACATAATGAGGCTGTGTCCCTCTATTTAACTTTGGGGAAGAGGAAAGCTGTTTACCTATTTCCATCTAGCATCAGTCAATTTCCTGTCATTTAAGCACACGTTCTTCTCCTGCCCAGTTTCATTTGGGTTCGTGAATAGAGTGGAAATGGGAAGCAATTTAATCTCTGATGGGGGAAAGTCAATTGGATTTGAATTATTTGCTTTTGAAATGCTCAATTTTGTGTTTGCAATTTAAATTTGTAATGAAAAAAGCTATAAAAAGAGGCGAATCTAAGACTCCTACTTAAACCATTGTTTTCATAGTCACCTTCCACACCTGCTGCAATTATGCTTTATCTTTAAGATCCAACAAAAGTGCTTATATCGGAATAACGCATTACATAATATATTTCTGTATACAGTGATAAAAGCCAGTAACGGCACATTTGCTGATCTGTCAGTAGTGAATTGTGTTTTATTATCCCCTTCTACACACCCCTCATATCTCATTGCACTCCTCACCCGTTACGAGGTGTTGCCCGAAGCTACGTGCTGGCTGAGCCCGGTGTGTTCCTGTCATCATCACCTTAGGGATGAAAATTACATGCACTTGCCAGGTACTTGATTAGACTGATTTTGTTTGTTGGCAGCTACGTCACCTGGGAAACGACGAGGTGCACATAGTGTGGTCGGAGCACAGCAGGGACTACCGGCGTGGCATCATCCCGACTGACTTTGGAGACGTGCTGATCATCATCTACCCCATGAAGAACCACATGTATTTCATCCAGATCATGAAGAAACCGCAGGTACATGTAAACCACTGCAGACTTTATTAAGGGTCATTGGAAATGGGAAATTACTTTTTTACATTTTTTTTAAATGCTTATTTTCCTTTTATACTAACAGGACAAAGTGCCAAGCACAAAAAGCTAAAGAGCGCTCTGGCTATTTTCATCACTGCACTAATTTCCAGGCTCTGAGTTTAAACAGTCCCTACTCCGCTTCCTTCTCAGACTTTGCCATGAGTTTCTCCGTCCTTTTTCCCTGTTATGGTTTCTGTCTGAAGGCTCTCAGTTCCTCATACTCCAGCTGTGCATTATTACCCATACTGTGGGTACGTGCTCTCGGAGATGGTTGCACTCCTTTCCTGCCTAGCTTTCATCTTGACCACTCTGAAGTACTGCACTCGATGTGTGGCCTTCCAGAGGATAGTGAAATGTCTCTTTCAGGGAAGGGCTGCCTTCAGATGTTCAGATACATCCACAACATTTTCTACGATTTCAGAGTTCCGTGACCTAATGTAAGAAATAACATCATCTCCTTTTAGCTTTATAATGACAGTATACCAGCTCCAGAGGAACTGCTAATTATTAAACATTGATAGCACTTTAGGACCAATACAATAATTAGCTCACCTGCCTGAAAGTATCCGGGCCCATAGAGAGTACACGCTTGCATTTTGCTTAAGCTCCGCCTCTGGTGTCCCGCTCTCGGCTCAGCCAAATGAATGGAGAGAGAAAATAACTCTGGATTCATTTTTTTGCGCATTTTACAACTTTTAGAACATAATGATTTAATTAAGGGCTATACAAGTGTTCTTGAGAATTTTCTGTTAAATATTTAATTTTTTCCTCAAATATTTGTCAGTTTTTAACTCTTTTGCATATCTCTTTCTTTACTGCCAATAAGAAATCTCTGTACTAATCAAATTGATCTAAATAGTACAAATCTGCATTTCTTAAGAACTGTGAGCGACTGTTAGATTAATAAATAATACACAAAGAAAAAAAAGTGTACGTTAAGTTCTTCAATGATCGCAGATGGTTCACAACTGAAAACATATTCTCAGTAGAGGGTCTCTGCAGCCAGAGCCCAGGAGGGCGAAAAGCCACGGATCTGCCCCCCAACCGTGACCCCATGCAACCCGATAAAAGTTATCTAACATTCTCTCACTTAAACTGCCCCCGACTCCAAGAACCTTTAAAGCAATCTACTCAGGTTTCTGATTTTAGTTTATCCAAAGTCACCCAAGTCTTCTTGCATGTGATTATTAGGTTAATTGGTCTGTGTACTTTCATGTTAAAGGTCCCATGTCATGGCCATTTCTACTGATCATAATTCCATTGTTGAGGTCTACTAGAATAGATTTACATTGTTCAATGTTCCAAAATCACATTGGTTTTCTCATACAGCATCTCTGTATAGTATGTGTATTCACTCTCTGTCCTAAACGGCTTGTTGGAGCCCCCCCCCCCTCCCTATGAGCCCACTGTGCTCTGATTGGTCAGCTCGCCCACTCTGTTCTGATGAGTCCACCACCGTTACAGCGGAACATCAGTGATTCTGTGTTACGATGGCGTTTGTTAGCAACCAGAAAATTACACCAGTAATGACAAACAGATGAGAATGCTGCGTGGGGTCTGAGTGCCGTGTTGGCGGGACGTTGCGGGGCTCGCTGCTCCGCCCTTTGAGGCTCGAGGAGCGGACAGTGTGAGCTGGATTACTGGTGTCGTTTCCTGGTTGCTGCGTGGGGTCTGCGAGACAGCGAGACACAGCGGAACTCAGCCTGAGCACACACATACACTCACAGCCAGGCTGTTCGCCACACACTCGCAGCCTGAGAAAAGATAAGGCTGAGTGAGTGTGTGTGCCGGCGAAACTCCGTGGAGTAGCGTGGCTGAGAAAAGATAAGGCTGAGTGAGTGTGTGTGTGTGTGTGTGAGGAGCTCCACGGATTGGTCCATTTGGACGTCGTTACGTCACTGTGACCAGGAAGAAAAAAATGGAAGAAGAGAAATCTCCAACAAGGCGTTCTGGGGCAGCATAGACAGGTCTTTTCTGTGTTCGAGTTTTACTCGCTACAGGGTGTACTTTGAGGGTTTGTGACTTTGCAGACCGTTTACATGCAGAAAAAGCTACCTAACACACAAGGGGACGGGTAATAACCGGAAAAGCATGACATGGGACCTTTAAAATCAATTTATTGTATAATTTGTCGGGTTATTATACGTGCTGAACTACCAAGTTGAAGACAGCAGGACCTTTTGGAGACTTTGACATTCACGTCAACTTCCAGGTCAACGACCATTGAGCTTCAGTGATTAAGGGCCTCCTTCCAATATGCATGAACAGACGCGTGTAGCCACACACACTCACACGCTGCCACTGAAATGCATATTGCCCCTTTGTATTTGTTCGGTAGCTCAATATGAGCCTTTGTTTAGTATTGATTGTCATTTTAATTTCATTTGCCTAACATTGATTCGCATTAGATATGTGTGGTTGTCATGCAAAGTTAGGTAAGAATCCAATTTCAACTTGAACCCTTGCCCTAAACAGATGGAGAAACGGTTAAAAAGAGAAGAACAAAACACATTTTAATTAACCTTTTCCTACATTTTGGGAGATTACTTATACAAGGACAGAACGCTGAGTGAGTTCATTTTGGATTATTGTTGAGCGTTTGATGTCTCATGTTTTATTTTCTTTACTTCCCCAGGTTCCTTTCTTCGGGCCTCTGTTCAATGGCGCCATCATCACGGGGACGCTGCTGCCCAGCTTGGTGCGGGCCACCTGTATCAATGCCAGCAGAGCTGTCAAGTCCCGGCTGACTCTCTACCAGAGCTTGTATCCTTGACTCCTAATGTGTTCTGCTACATTTAATCTGCACAGAGAAATCGAACAATTCATAAGAAAAGACCCCATTGATGACCCATACAGCCGAGATATTAACGGTTGTGAGTAGATATGGCTTTTTATAATGATTTCATGACACCACCAGTGGCCCATTTGGGTAAATTCATTGAGACATGTGGCGTGCTTGTCACATCAGCTAACGTACACAGCTGAGTGCTGACACTGATCTTTATGGGCTGGCTGATTTACATACAGCTATTAGGCCAGGGCTGTTTCGCAGCCTGGAGCAGCATGGGAGGTTGTTTGGGGTTGTTTTGGGCAGGAGCGCAGATAATGTGTCATCATCTATCACTACCGTTTTATGGAGCACGAGGAGAGCCGAAATAAGAGCACCCTCAGCAAATGCACACACCGACAAACACACTCACACACACACACACACACACACACACACACACACACACACACACACACACACACACACACACACACACACACACACACACACACACACACACACACACACACACACACACACACACACACACACACACACACACACACACACAGACAAACATACACATACTCACACTCGCTTTCATCCCTCCACCCATCCAGCCAACAGTGTGCCGTTAAGAGCCTGACTCCAGCTGTAGTTGTCAGTTGGTTTAAAGGGAGTGTAATCACCAATGGAGATGAATTAGCATGTGAATGCCAGCAGCACTGAGTTGGGGGGTGAGATGGGGGGCAGAGTCGGGATGGCCCCTGGAGGGGGAAACCTGATCTCCCTCAACGCCCCGCTCCTCCTCGGACAGCATGTACGGCACCGCCTCACCAGAACCACGCTGCCCCTCTGGCAGTTGCTATAGAAACCTCCCCTGAGGATGTTTCATTTGGGTGGAAGACCACTCTCTTTTGTTTTTTAGACATTGACGTATTTGCTGCTGTTTTGAATTATTCTGAAGTCATTGTATCACAGTCATTTACCCAAAAAAAGCCTCTTTGTCGTTCCTACAACGCAGCTGCGCGTGTTGTTTACAGTCGGCTGTGTGTAAGTATGTGCCTGCCTGTATGCGTTTCACAGTGCATCACATCCCCTGGCCCCACCCCACCCCTATATCAGGCCTTGTCTGTGTGTCCCCAGGGGAATCCTGAGTGACAGATGTCTGTTACCCGACGCCAAGTGAATTAGCCCAGTGTGACACTCAGTGCCAGAGGGGGGGGGCAGCCACAGGCCTCTGTGAGCCTCTGGGGGGGCGGGGGGGGGGGACAGTACCGGGCCTGTGCCGGGCCACAAAAGCTTTACCTGGCATTCCTTAGCAGAGGAGCAGGCAGCGTGATCTATGAGAGGAGATAAGCGCTGCCTCTGGAGCTCTGGCACTGAGCGGCTGCCAGGCCTCACACACTCCAAGAGAGGAGATGAATGAATGTGCCAGGCAACACACACTGCCAGCATGAGTATCTGCATGTCTGTTTGTACTGCTGTTTGAATGCATAGCCTGAGAACTTGTGAGGACAGAGGCAATGCATAGCCAAAATGTGATGACCAAGTTTTAGATTTTAAGTCCTGACTGGCACCGGTATGGACCACAAACCAGAAGCGATAACCAGCTAATCTTACAAATGCTTTCATCACTGTTGTATTACTGCAGCCTTTTGCACTTCTCCGTCTCCAGCCGTCATTCTTCCATCTTCTCAGGTTATGCGTCCCTTTATCTATCGCAGGTCGGAACAATGACCCTCCCTTTTTTTTTTTGTCTCGGCTGTGTTTTTCTTTTTTTGGTTACAAGATGGAAAATCCTCATCCTTGGTTTACCCCTTCACAATGCCTTAACAATCCACAGTCTGCTCTCTGCCTGTGAGGCCACTCTCCAAGGTAATTAGTTGAATATTTCTTCAAAGAGAAGCTATATGACCCCTGTGTGTCCAGATAAAAGGCCAGTGTGGCGCTGTGGCCCCCTCTCTCGCTCTGTCACAAGGCTTCGAGAGGACTCCAGCAGTCTGCCGCAACGCTCACAGGATCTCTCAGGCTAATAGGATTTGATATTAAAAAATGTCCACCAGCCACATTTTCAGAAAATACACAGACGGGCTGTAAGAGTGTTTTTCAAATACTCCCCCCTTGCTGTCTTCCTTTCTTCCTCCTCATCGCATCCTCCGTCTCCTTTTTTTCCTCCAGCTCTGAACTGTGAGGATTTGTGAAATCTGTGTAGTTGTTTTCTTGTACTCTCCCATTGTCAGTTACAATCTGTATCAATTTCTTCAGTCAAGACAAAACCTTGGCCTCATAGACACCATATCACAAGCCTCCCACAGACAACTCATAATGTATCATCTATTATTTATACGCCTGATGGAAAATGCAGCTGGTCTGGTTTGTGTGTTCTAAGTGTATTGTCTGCAACTAGTCTACACTCCACATTTTAAATAATTGACAACACAAAATGTGCCTAAACAACTTTTTTAGAAAACTACCACTTTTTGGGGTAGGAGAGTAGAACATGTAGATGTAATTCTGTTCCTGCATTAATGGTGCAGTGTATGACATACCGGCATAGAAGATGCAATAAGTGTGTTTGCGTCACATGAACTCAGGCTGTCACTGAATGGTTTTGCTGTCTGCTGCCATTTCCTTTTTTATAAAGATCCTTCATACTGTCACTGTGGAATAATGTCTCCATCCAGAAGCTGGGATTCATTTCTCTCTTCAGCAAGCACTTGAGTTTGATGTGCCGTCCATCACTCTTTGTGATGGGGGTACTGTTGTGAGTAAAGACTGTGTGTGCGTGTGTGTATATTGAGGAAACGGCAAGTTTCTAATAGGTGAGACTGCTGAACTGACCTTGATTCAGAGACATAGCCTCCCTACTGGACTGAATCAATAGTTTTTGCACACTGCCCTTAGTCCCCATCCTCTGGTCTGGCAAACACACACACTCACAAACACACACACACACACACACAGATCCATCTCCAGGCAGCGATCAATAACCATAATCTGTTTCTGCCCATCGCCAGTCATGCGAGCCAGGCTTTTAGGTGGGGTGTGTGTGTGTTTATCTGTGTGCAGAGAGGGAGGCTTGATCCCAGAATGCTGCTGGAGTCTCTCATGTTCCCTCACTGGCTCATGTGAGCATATCTACAGTCCTCCAGCTCCCTGAAAGCCAAAACGAGATGTACATAATTTCAAAGGATGTCTACTGAAAAAATAATGGATATGGTATCCCGTGAGCAGTTCTTTTTGTGCTGTTGCTGCACCCCCCAAGGCGGCATCATAATTACTACAGTCCCTGCATTGGCAATGACATATTCTCACACCCCTTCTGAGCAAGTTATTGTCCCACTCTCGCTGTGTCTTTGTCCAACGGCGGTGCGTTCTTTTGTATACAGTAAGATTCCTCACCTAGCGGAGATGAAAGTGCGTCTGTATGCATGATGGGATATCATGAATAGGATATGCCATGTTAGTGTTGTCTCACATGAATTATTTAGCATCGTTGATAGGTCTAATTTGCCAGCTGTTGTGCCATAACTGTCGGCAGACTCATAGATAATACTCAGCGGTCTATATCGCTGTGGAACACGGTGCTTGACTGGGCACAGTGAGACGCCGGGCTAGTCATTATTTGCTGGTTCATGTAATGGTCTGAGCTGAAGTGAGTGTAACTAGCCAACTTCCTGTTTATGGAAAACAAGGCAGACCAACTAAAAGCTTTTACAAGTTGCCCGAAGTAATTTGTGATATACAATCAAATCAGAAATGACCTTGATTTGTCGTGCATTGTATATCTGGTATTACTGGTTGCAAGCCTTTATTTGGAGGCAGTCGGCTGCTGTCGGGTGGGTTGCGGGGGTCCGTTTCTGAGTTGAAGTGTCACTGCTTGGAATTGGCAAGGGCGGTTTGGGCAGAGGCTGGCATTGGCTTTGATAGAGCGGTTGAGAGTTTATGCAGTATTTGGGGGGCTACACTGAGAGGAGGGGTCTCTCCCCCACTGAATGTTTTAACCTAATCCCATTATCAGTGTAGCGCACTGCCTCCCATCTCTTCCCCCTCCTTATCCCTGCCCCCTCCCACCCTTCTCTCCAGCTGACCAGCTGTTCCTGCCGGGACTCACGACAATGTCCGATGTGTTCAGATCACTGGGTACCCCCCCCCCCCCCCCCCCCACCCCCCCCATCTCCATCACACACACAAATACACAGGGCGCAGTCCATGCACAACCGAAGCAATTGGCTAGACCATTGCTGGAGCCCAGGAAGGCCTAGAGGGAGGAGGGTGTTAGTGAGGGGGGAAGCCTTGGGTTTGAGGAGGGGGCAAGCACAGGCCTGTCAAACCAAGAGCCCTGACTCAGGAGGCAGCCCGGCTCGGATGGCATATGGCGTCTAGCTTCATACAACATGCAAAAGTATTCTCTCCATTTGCCCCCTCCCCTCATCGAGCCCCCCCTCCCTGTCTCCCTCCCCTGCTGCTAATGCAGAATGACTCATAGCATTACTCCCTTTTTTTTTCTCCCTCCTTTCCCCCACATTAGTTCCTCCTCCTCTTGCCACCCAGCCTGTAACAAAAGGCGTCCGCTGCATGGCACCCACACCCTGAAAGCCCTGGGGGCCCAGCCCAGCCTGCACTCTGAGGCCTGAGCTTCATGGGGCCCGCCCCTTTTAAACACAGGTAGAGCAGGCGTGGAACCAGACGGCCAACAGCAGGGACCCAGAGCCCCGCCTCGGGTAGCATACACACACTGCTGGTGTCAAACTGTTGTGCCTGTTTGTGTTGGTACCTTTACGGTATCTGCCTTTTATTTTGTAGCGCCTCTAGTAATATAAAACCATCCGGCTTTCTGTGGTTATGCATATTTAAGCACCATGTGTCCTTTATTTTTCTAAATGCAACCTGTATGACAAAGAAGGGTTGTCTTTTATTTGCAAAGAGTAACATACTTTATTTTTGATTTACACTAGATTATAAGCTGAAAATGAACTGTGTTGTAGTG